GTCCATAAACTCGTGGGTTTATATCTGGGTTTTCTATTCGAATCCACTGGTCTGTATGTCTATTCTTATTCCAGTACCATGCAGTTTTGATTATTATGCTAGCCTAATATTTTTTAAGGAACATTTGATGGCTACTAAAATGATCCTTGTCCTTTTTGTTTGTTTGTTTAAAGATTTATTTTATTTATGCATACAAGAGCTGGGGTGTGGGCACGAGAGGATTTACCAGAGACAGAGTGGGAAGCAGAACAGGCAGATAGACTGAAATAAATACACTGCTGAGGGGAGCAGCGGATTATAGGGATCGAGCTCACGCCACAGCAGTGACAGCGCTGAAACTTTCTCTCTAGGCCACCAGGTTATTTGCAAAACATGGATGGAACAAGAAGGCATAATACTCAGTGAAATGAGTCAGAAGGAACAAGGAAAATATTAGCTGATTTCACTTATAGGGAGAAGGTAGGGAACCAAAAAAGGATCAGAAAAAAAAATAATAATAACACAACACAACAAAAATGGACAACTATAAATCAGAGCCATTCTACAGGGGAGGGGGAGGCAGAGGAATTGAGATGGGGGCGGGAGAAGCAGGAGCCGCTACAGTGATGGCACAAGGGCGAGTTGGTGGTGGGAATTCAGTGGGGACTACATCTGAGAGGAGAAAGCGAACTCTGTAAAAAAAAAGAAAATGAACACCGGTGTAAAATACATATTTTATTTATCCTAATCTGTAGTAAATTATATTGAACACATAAAAAAAAGTTAAAAGAGCTACCTGTAAGCTGGTGACTTGTATTGGATAGGATGGACTCAGATTCTGGAACATTCATTAAATAGTGAACTAAGTTGAATCATTGTCCTGGGTGAGGAGGTGGTGGGGTTGGACAGAGAATGATATATTAGGGTCATTTTAATAGAGACAGAAGGTGTAGGTAGCTCCTAGAAGTTTCCCTTCTTGTCGACTTAAAAGTTATGGCAATGGAGAGCAGAGCAGGCAGAGCACTGAGGAAGAACAGTGCAGGCAGACCAGACCAGAGCCAGAAAGCAGAGCCAGTGAAAGACCAGTGAAAAGGGACCGAGAGCAGGGAGAGGGCCAGCTGTCTTGCAGACGGAGGGCTGAGGGCAGCGTACCAACCCTGCTGGAGAGAACTCACACAGCCCACCGTGGTGCTTCAAGAGGTGTTTGCTGGGAACCTAGAAGGTGTCACCCAGCCTGGGCAGCCCCTTCTCAACGCTGAGACCTAGCCCAGGCAGGGAAGCTCTAAAAGGTTCTTAGCATTTAAATGTTGGGTCAGGTTGCATTTCAGCGAGATTGCTGCTGCCCAAATGATTGAGACTCTTTGCCTTCAGGCCCTTCTGAGCTTGATTGTGGTTTTTTTTTAAATGTGCCATCTCAGTGTCTGGTCTGGTTCATGTCTTGTTTTGTTTCTCTTTCTCTCCTGGGCCCCACGCTTTCCTCCTTGATGTCCTCTCTCTCATCCAAAGATCAGCCAGTAAAAAGCAGTCTCACCTGTCCAGGTAAGAGGTGTGGCAGAGAGAGGGAAGACTCCTTATAAATCCAAAAGGTGTTTATTTGTATTGCATTACACTTATTGTTTGAATAATAGCTTCACAGGATTTAGAATTTAAATGGTATAAACAAGAATATAAAGAAAAGATTCCAGCTCTACCTTCTGCCCCAGCAACCAGTCTCCTCAGAGGCAACAAGTAGTCATTTTTTTTGTCCCCTCCCAGGGATATTTTAGGTATTTTTTTGCACATGTAAAACATCTATATCATGTCCTCTTTTATTACTTTACTGTCCACAAAGCTGTGCCTCTTGCTGTTTTCTCTAAACAACATTCCTTGGAGCCCATGCCTTTTCATATGTAAAGCAGCTCCTCTCCTGGCATACAGCTGAATACCGGATCTTTCTATTGCTGTGCTGTAATTTATTTAACCACTCACCCCTTGTGAGCATTTAGTTCCTTCAGGGCTTTGCCACTACAGAAGTGCTCCTGTGAACAGCCTCTGCTGTGGGATGTCATGCTGTGGCAAGAGACGGGAGACCCCTTTCAGAGGGGCAGCTATGGACCAGGAACTGCAGCTCCTAGGCCTTTCTAAAAGATGACCATGGCAATGACTGAGTTCCTATTCCTGCAGGGTCCCATTAGAGAGAAGACAGTGGTAAATCTGGTCTGGCGATATGTGGTACCTAGAGGTTTTAAGGTCTTGAGATAGTTCACAAGCAAGCTGGCTGTAGGAAGGTGCTGGGTGAAGGCTGGGAAATGACCGTCAGCTAGACCGGTGCCTGTTCTGTGGCACCCACAAGATGAGTGGGTTTTCAGAGGCTCAGCCATTACCCTCCTTTCTAGAAAAATATGCATGTTGCCAGTGACCCAACAGGTTGGTGCCAGATGCCCAGTTACTCTCCTAGAGATACTGTTTCGGGGAAGGACAAAGAGGTGAAGCTAAAGAGGGGGAGATCATCACTGACAGCCATTGCATTCTCTGCTGTGTTCATGCAGGTCACAGTGCGCTTCTGACCCACCACATCCTTGCCCTCCAGTCTTCCTTCTTTCAAAAATCATTGCCTAAAACTAACTTGTTATTTGTTTTTTTCCTGTCTTTTTCTTGCATTCATTTTCTCTGCTGCTCCGTTCTGTTCCATCAGCCCCATTGCAGCCTGGTAAGACCCAACAAGCATAGGCATCTGTGTGCTTTCTGTCCCGCCTCTGTCTGCTGACTCAAGAAGGGGCTGTTTCCCTCCACACCTTGCTGGCATTAAAGAGATCATGCTTGACCTACCATCCTCTGGTTCCAGATAGGTGACGTGGCTGATCTCCCGCCACACCGAGCAGGTCCAGAGGGTTGGTCTTATTACCCAAGGGTCAGGGCCCCTTTTGACAGAGCTTTCTCCCACTAGAGGGCTGGACCATCTGTGCCCAACTCACTGTACTTTCTTCTTCTTCTTCTCCAGGTTAAGTAGCCTGTCTTTGGGAGATTCGGCACCTGAACGCACGTCCCCTTCTCACCACCGCCAGCCCTCTGACACCTCTGAGACAGCAGGTAACCTTCTTGGGCATTAATGCATAGACAAAGAGGCACACAGACAGATATGTTTACGCAGGTGTAACAGAATTTAGCCTCTCATTCAGCACATAATGTATACATACATGTTTTCTGTAAAATGCCCCTTCATCCTTAGAAAGTAGATTTTATTATGTCTGTTTTACAGATGAGGAAGCTGAGGCCCAGGAGATTTAAAAGCATGCCCATGCACATAGACCTGTGGGGCAGAGTCAGAACCTGGAGCCATTTGGGTTTTAGCTGTAGAACGCACACTTTGTCCCTCACAGGATCATTCCCTGCACACCCACAGGGTAGAGACAGCTAGAAGCTGTAGCCGCTCTTCCCTGTTTTTTCACATTCTGTGTGTGGAGACTTCTTTTGTCATCATCACTTCTTTGATTTGGCACGGGGCCAGCCATGAGGTACCCCACATGAATTATCCAGCTCTACAAAAAGAGTCAACAGACATTGGGGGCCCCATCTGCTACGCTTATTGGACAAAACGTCCAGCCTTATGGGGGATCAGTCTGAGGCTGTGTCCCTGTTAGTCTTTGGAAGAGTGGCCCAGACATCGCCCTGTCCCTTCTCTGGCCAGGAAACCTAAAGAAGCAGACATGTGCAAGAGAGCACCTCAGTGTCTTGGGGAGTGGTGATTTCTTGAATAGCGTGCAAAGTAGGTTGCAGGTTTTCATCCATCACTGTGGGACATGTGAAGGCAGGAGGAGTCTGGAATAGCTTTCTGGAAGAAGAAGTGCGCTTGACTCCACTGGATTAGCTGGCCTTCTTGCACTCCCTAACCAGTGACAGTTCCTACCTTCTCTGCTCTCTCACCTCTCACCAGGTCTTGTTCAACGCTGTGTCATCATCCAGAAGGACCAGCATGGCTTCGGCTTCACAGTCAGCGGGGACCGCATCATCCTGGTGCAGTCTGTGCGACCTGGTTAGTGTCCTATGCCTCATTCCTCTGGACAAAATAGCCATGGGTGTGACAGCTTTGACCCCATCACCTCTCTGGGGGTCAAGGGCAGGGGTGACAGGCAGAAATGTACTGCTCTAGAATTTGTTCCCCAGGAGCATCTGAGGGCCCCACAGTGGTAAGATGGTAGACAGAATTTCAAGGACTCACACTTCATACTTGCCTTCCTGTTGGGAAGTGGAAAATCAGCAGAATACCCCTTATGTCACTCAGGAAGTTCCTGATTGTCCTCCAGAGGAACCCCTCCTCCTGGATAAGAGATGCCACCTAGGAATGGGAGCCCGCCGCCTTACACTACCTTCACATTCATTCCCTCCTTCACATTCATTCCCTCCCCGGGTACAGTGGTCACTGATCTGCAGCAGTTCACAGTTGGAGGCAGAACCACTGGTCCAGTGGTTCCTGCATGTGCAGGCACAATCTGCATGAAGTAATAAATTACCACAAGATAAATGATGAATGTTTTTACACAAGAGGCCATGTGTCTCGAAACTGTGTTTGGGTAGTTTGTGGTTTGAGATAGTCATTTCCTTTCTGATCAGTTTGGGAATCTTCCTTTAAAAAAAAAAAAAAGGGACTTCAGGAGTAGTTCAGAAGATAGAAATGAAAGTCATTTTGGCAGGACAGAGATTTGGTGGGAAGGCAGTTAAGAGTTTGAGGGCACTGGGAATGAATGAATCAAGTGAGTGAGTGTGTATGAAAGCGCACTGAATATTTCAAAGCACTGTCATGTGCAGGTGGTGAGTCCTTACAGGGCGCTCTCTGGAGAAGGAGGCTGAGGTGGGGCAGGGCAGGAAGCAGGTTTCTCAGAAGAGTGGGCGCCACGCAGCAGGTGGAATTAGGCCTGGTGATGTGGAAATTGTGGCCATGGCCGGAAGAATGGTGCCGGGAGAGGGGCAGGAACAGGCTGGCCCACCACACTGAGCACAGTGCAGATGGGAAGGAAGATGTACTTGAAGCAACTTCGGAGAAAGTTTTAAGATTTGCTTACAGAAAAAGTGAGAAGAGAATTTCAGAGTGATGACCAAGATGAGGTAGGTAACTCAGGCAAGGGTATCAGTCGTTGGGACAGCTGCTGTTTGAGTTACTTTATCTGTTGGAGGTGTGTTGTGCATACACTAGGGCAGAGCTCGAGAAGATATTTCTATTCCTTGCTTCCTTTAATCTCTCACCATTCCTGGGTTAGCGTAGAACAGTTAGTGGGGCTGCCAGTACCTGCACTTTGCCTCGGCATCTGTTGGTCACAGAGAACATCAGCACCCCAGGGTTCCTGTGCTGCCCTCCTCTGAAATCAGAGCAGTCAGACCCAGAGAGGGGAGAACAGAATGAGAACTGCAAGTAAAATAGGAGGCTTGGAAAATGTGTATGTGTGTGCGTACTTGGGGAAGGAGAGAAGACTCTGGGTTGCCGTTGAAATCTCAAGAGTAATAGGGCAGTTGTGACTGTCTGCTCCAGATGGGAGGGGGCGCTAGTCACTGTTTCTGCCCCGTAGCCTCTGTTCTACCAAATCCTAAGCCCTGAGAAGATCGAAAACCCCTCTCCTGGGCCCAAGCCCAGGAGGACTGAGTCCATTTTTGGCTAGGGGACCAACAAATATGCTTTTTAACGAACTCCTTCCATGGTTTTCATGCTAATTAAATTCTGAGAACTTATGCTCCCATTCCTTTGCTTAGAAGAGTGTAATTTCTTTTAAGTCGCTTAGTGACCAGGAGTCACCATATATGTTTCATGCACTCCAGCAAGGCTGGTCTCTCTCTCCGCCTTTAGTTTCTAGGTGACAGCGTGAGAGAGTTCCACGCATTTGCAAGTATTCCTTCCCTAAGTAACACACTGTAGATGAGGGTTGTCTTGGGTCTCCCGGTTTTGGAAAGTCAAATTAGAATATAGTCATCACTGTCATTTCTCTTTTCAGACTAGGAAACTCTAGCTGCACTTTGTGGGTGTTTTGTTGTGATCAGATTAATGCAACATACAGATTTAATGATTACCTTTGGGCAAATATGCTAAAAGCTTAGTTGTTATGTTTCTCATTTACTTGTTTAATGTTTCTCATGCTTCCTGGGTTAAATTGAACAGCCTCTTAAGTCATTTAAAACTACATAGTGGTTGAAGCCACTGCAGCCTCCTGAGTGGGAGTGACTTAGAGATGCTGTACTCACTCTTAAGTTCCTCTCATCAGTCACAACCAGCAGCTCCTATTCTGGTCTCTTAAAGGGAGAAACTGTAAATAGATTTAAGAAGTCTTTTAGTAGACACAAAGCAGTTACCATTGTCATCTTTAATAGTATGAGTACCCAGAACATCTTCATGCAGTTCTCAGTGCTCATGAACCATAATTTGAAAACTCTTATTTTAATCATTTTCTTCATATTACTCCTAATAATGATTTGCTATAACAGTTTATTACAGTATACTTAGTCTTCCAACTGCATTATAAGAAATAACTTATTTGACCTTGAAACACATCCAGATACTTTCAGGTGAAGCAGAAACACTTCTGCAGGAGCTGGACCCAGCCTCTTTGGCATTCAGAAACCTGACGTCTGAGCCAGATAGAGAAAAGAGCAAGAGACATAATCTTACATAGTCCACTCTAGCTCAGAAGTGATTGTGCCCCTGGAGCAGAATAGGATGTACAGTCAGCATTTGGAAAAAAAATTGTGGTGGGAAGGTAGCCTGTCAGGGACTTTGGTGCAGACTGAGTGACCCCTGTGAAGGGTTTTGGGCTCTACTCACCAAGCCTTCTCCCTGCAGGAGGTGCAGCCATGAAAGCAGGTGTGAAAGAGGGCGACCGGATCATCAAGGTAAGTGAGCACCCCTAGCCCACAGAGCAGGGTGTGCAGGGCCACTTCTGGCCCTGGCCTGTCCCATGTTCCATTTTAGGCGAGCTGTCAGCCAGCCACTGTGTTGGGGCAGCTACCATGAGAGTGAGCACAGCAGTGCCATGTGACAGGGTGGCAGCCGAGGTGCTGGGCTCCGTATTCTAAACCCTTCCTGACTCTACAGTAGCCAAGAAGCTTCTAGAATAGGTTATATTAATCCCGTTTCACAAATGACATAACCAAGATTCAGTGCAGGAAGTGGCTGGAGGAGTGGCTGTGATTAGTGAAGGACCCAAAGCCATCAGATTCTCAGCTTATTGTTCTGTCCTCTGTGCAGACAAACCAGCTTCGGGTCCTCCTGCGTCCACACTGTCATGATCTGTCTGTCCTCTCCTTTCAGTGCTTTTTTCTACAATATGGAGTCCCAGAAACATTAGGAAATCCTAGGTGAGGAGACTCCTTAGACCTCTAGTGAGGAGGAAACATCAGGTCAGTCAACAACAGTGTGCAAGGCTACTGACTGAAAAGGTAGATGTCAAAAATAAATGAGGCATGCACAGTGAAGCTACAGGTCTTGTCCCTGAAGTTTTAGGGAGATGAGCATGTGACAAATAAGAACAGGAATAAATACATAATGTGGATTTAAGTAAAGACGTGTCCAGAGGTGGCTCAAGAGCATTGGAATGGCTTCCTAAGGGGGTGACATTTTGAATTTGCAGAAGGATACGTGTGTTTCAATCACCATTACTTAGTATCATTTGCCCCCCAACAGGTGAACGGCACCATGGTGACCAACAGCTCGCACCTGGAGGTGGTGAAGCTTATCAAATGTGAGTTGATGAGAACTAACAAGAAGGAAAGTAGGAACCTCCCTGGGGGCCTAGGGGTGAAGTCTCAGCACCATCACCTATAAAGCCTGAGTTCAGTCCCCCGCCAGGGAGCTGATCCACGTGGCACAGCAGACCTCCCGTCTCACCCGCTGCTCCCCTCAGCAGTATATTTCAGATCTGACGGTTCTGCTCCCCACTGTGTCTCTGGTGAATCACCACCCCCACCTCACACCTCTGGCCTAGAGGTTCTTCTACACAAACAAAAATACTTCTTTTTTCTTTTAAAGGAAAGAAGGGGAGCAGATGGGCTGGGAGGGAGTGAGGGACACAAAGGCCTGTTGGCCTGGGAGGCTTCCTTTGTAGCTGCTAGAGGCTGCTGAAGAAGTTATGGCTGTCATGCTGATGGGGAGGAGCCGTGTAGGCTGCCTCAGTGCCTTGTCATTTCAGGTGGAGACTCATCTCATCTTTATTTTTTATATCCATCTTTTTAGACCACATCCTACTGCCATTTAGACTAACCTCTTAAGATCAGGTCTTTCCCAAATACCATTTGCTCCCTTCTCCCATGCATGGACATTCTTGTTTCCTGGAACGGGGATGGAAGTGGGAGGCAAAACATTTGCTTGCAGAAAGGCATTTGAATCTGCCAGGTAATCAAATAGAAGAACAAAGGCTGAGGAAAGAACAAAAGAGTATGTGGTCTTTGGAGAAGGTCACAGTCTAGAGTGTGTTGGCTGCAGCTTTATGTCAGCTACTTAATTTAGAAGAGAAAGCAAAGGCCTCGTGGGGCAGCCCTTCAGGAGTGTTCCCCCATGTTCATGGGTAGAGTCTTGGTTACAGTCTCTGGATAAGGACAAAGGAGGAAGGTGTGTTTGAGTTGATGAGGGTAGGAGAGCAGAAATTAGAGAATGAGTGGGACAGTAAAGGGAGAACTTTATCTATGGAATTATAAACTCAATGAGAGAAGGGACAGGAATCTCCTCTTTTGTAGCTTGAATGTCACTGCCCAGAACAAAACCATTCTCTCTGTATAACTCCAGCTGGTGCTTATGTTGCCCTGACGCTCCTGGGCTCTTCACCCTCGTCCATCAGTGTCTCCGGGCTTCAGCAGGACCCAGCAGGAGCTCCCCGAGTCACCCCTGTGATCCCACCGCCACCTCCTCCTCCACCACTGCCACCACCACAGCATATCACAGGACCCAGGCCTCTGCAGGTAATGGTCCTGTGGGCACCTCGCCCCACTCTGTTACTTTTTGAGGGGAAAGAAAGCAAGTTACATCAAACAGTGTGCAGGTAAACAGTGACAAGCCACAGAAGTGATGAAGATCATCAAAAGAGTCGAACAAAATGAGGCTACAAGAAAGGGGTTGGGACCTGCTTCACTGTCCTCCTCCATGTAAATACATGTGCGGTTTTATCCAATAGCAGTAGACTTGTGTTTCCTAAATGTGGGGTCTCTGAAGAGGCCCCACCCCATCAGGGAGACAGTGCACACCAAGGACGATGCCAGGCACTGTCATGAGGGAATCGTAAGTCACGCAGGGAAATGCTGCTTGGAGCAGCGACTCATGGCGTCCAGTGTGTTGAGAGGTAGGAGGGACAGAAACAAACGAGGGGAAAAGGAAGGCCAGGTAGAGTCTGGGGGGTACAGAGAGGATAAGATGCAGATAGGAAGTGCGGACAAGAGCTTCCATTTGGGAAGAACTAAACCAAGAACTCCTGGGAGACTTTAGGGAGCAATTTGATACCATACATTATTACTGCCAAGGCTTCTAGGAAGTTTAGGAGTAAGATCACAATAATAAGATACTTGGTATTAGCAGGACAAACTTATGACCTAAATTCTTAGCTTTTCTTGCCCAAGAATGAGTAGATAGAAGAGAATTCAGCAACTGAGCTGGTCCCCACCTCACACTACTATCATAATGTTCTATTCTTAGGATCCAGAAGTTCAAAAACATGCCACCCAGATCCTTAGGAATATGCTGAGGCAGGAAGAACAAGAGTTACAGGTACGTCACAACTGAGGGTAGGTGGGTTCTTCATCAACACAATCTACAAGGGATACACCTTAATTTATAGGCCACATCCTATCACAGTAAAACTTTGGAAAATGAAATTACAGGGCTGCTACAAAACTGCCACTAGTGAACAGAACTGTTCACTAGAATTTGTTAAAGTAGGATTTGACTCAGTAGACTAAAGAGGGCAGTAGAGCTCACAGATGATAGATTAACATAGTGAATACATTGACAGAATACAAACAAATGATGAGACAGGTAGAATGAAATGAAGGAACAGAGGAACTGAGGAAAATCAGAATGTGCTGGAATTGATCTTGAAGTTTTCCAAGGGAAGGTAAGAAAGAAGGAGAGTGGGGAAAGTAGGTGAGAGCTGGGCTAGGCTGACAGAAGTGAGGGCAGTATTGGACGATGAAGAAGTTATGGGCGTTCCCAGGCCTGGGAAAGATGGACACAGGGAAAATTAATTTGACTAGAGTGATATCACCAGATCCCTATAATAGCTGTGGTTTGTAGAGAGTCCCTCAATTTGGCAAATTTCAGTATGTTTCCACTGAATGTAAATCATCATTTTAATTTTCTATGGAATACAGAGATGAAGATTAGCTGCTTCTGAGTCTCAGCATGTTTAAAATCTAGTCAAGAAAATCAATTACAGTAGGAGTGAAAGTTGAAGGAACAAAGAGCTTGCAGTAAGACAACAATAGATAGCAATTAGTTCGTGATGGGAAAAGGTAGGGGAAACTTCACAGAGAGGGGAGTATTTCAGCTGGACCTTGAAGAGCCAGGCTTTCATAGGCAAAAGAAATGGGGAGAGAATGCCAGCCATTGGACAGCGGTTGGACAAAGGCATCGAGTTATGAAAATACACTCATTTATTTAACAGACTTGAGTTTCTGCAGCATGCTAGGTACTGTGTGTATGTATTGCAGGAGAGGGAGGGAGACTGCTCAGGATAAAAATTGTTATGGTCACCAACATAAATGAGAGTTGAATCTTTGCTTGAGGAGTTTGAAATCCTATAGGATATCAGTAGATAATTGAAGATATACTTCCTCTAAAATGTAATAGGTGCTGATACATATGTACTGGCAACTGTCATAGAATAATCAAGATACTGTGCTAGTGGTAGAAGTATAGTTCAGATTCTCAGAATTAACCCATACATCTGTGATCAATTAATTTTTGACAAAGGTGCCAAGACAGCTCAGTGGACAAAGAATCGTCTTTTCAATAGTTTTGGTGCTGGGACAACTGGATATCCACATGCAAAATAATGAACTTTGGACCCTTACCTCACAAAGTAAACAAAATTTAACTCGAAATGGATCATAGATTTAATTAAATGTAAGAGCTAAAACTATGTTTTAAAACTCTTAGGAAAAAACATGGATATGAATCTTTATGACCTTAGATTAGGCCATGCTGCTTAGATATGACACCAAAAGCACAACCAGAAGATTAATTGGACTCAATCAAAATTAAACACTTTTGTATGTCAGAGGGCACTGTTAAAAAGAAAAAAAGACAGCGACTTCACAGAATGGGAAGAAATAATTGCAACTCATATCTGATAAAAGTCTAATTACCACACTTTGCATTGCAAAGACAAATAACTCAATTTAAAACAGTGGGAAAGGATTTGAGTCACACAGCCCTCTAAAGAAGACATGCAGGGCCCTCCCTGGTGACATAGCGGGTTAGGACACAGCACTGCCAGCTGACTGCAGCTGCTTCGGTGTGAGTTCGATCCCCAGCCCTGGAGGTGACCCACATGGTGCGACAGACCTCTCCTGACCCACCCGCTGCTCCCCTCAGCAGTGTACTTCGTCACTCTGCCTGTTCTGCTCCCCACTCTGTTTCTGGTGAAGCCTCTCACCGCCCCTGCATCTCTGTCCTGTACCCCAGTTCTGTGTGCATAAATAAATCTTAAAAAAAAAAAGAAAAAGAAATACAGATGGGAAAGCACAGCAGTCTTAGTCCTTAGAGAGCTCCTACACAAAACCATAGAGCAATACCCCCGTATCCACTAGGGTAGTTGGAGTCAAAATAACAAAAAGTAAACGCTGTGAAATGTGGAGAGATTAGAGAAACGCTTCTTTATGTTTTGTTTATAGATATGCTGTCCTAATCTGTCCCACTGTTAATGGTGAGAGTGTAAAAATAGTGTAGCCAATGTGAATGATTTGAATGATTCCTCAAAAAAGTTAACATGAATACAGAAATAAGATTCATTAATTCTACTCCTAAGTATATAACCAAGAGGATTGAAAACAAATGTTCACACAAAAGTTTGAATCTGAATTTTAGTAACAGCATTATTCATAATATTGTGAAAGTGGAAATAGCAGAGTTGTCAGTCACCTAATGAATAAACTAATGTGGTATGTCCAAACAATGGAATATTGAAGGAAGTACTGATCCATGCTATAACTTGGAAGAACCCCCAAAATACTATATAGGCCCTCCCTAGTGGCGCAACCAGTTAAAGCACAGCACTGTGAAGCTCTCCACAGCCACTGCCAAGGAAGTGATCAACATGGCGCAGCAGACCTCTCCTGTCCCCCCACTGCTCTCCTCAGCAGTGTATTTCAGTCAGTCTGCCTGTTCTGCCCCCCACTTTGTCTCGGGGAGTCCAGTCACCCGCCTGCATCTCTGGCCTATACTCCAGTTCTTGTATGCATGCATAATTAAATAAAATCTTTTTAAATTTTTTAAAAAGTTAAAAAAAAAGTTCTTTTAATGATAAATATCATATATTGTCTTCTGTATGGCTTATATTACTTATATCATACCCTCTAACATGAATTTAATCATTGTCACATGTCTTGTGACCATGTAGATGAATAGGAATACTTGACTCCAGTCAAGTTTTACATATTACTTGGAAAATAAAAAAGAAAATGATTGAAACTTGCAATGACAATATCTGAGAAGGAATAAATGGAAGCAAAACTGGTAAATGTGCTCAAGAATTCCTGTGGTTACTATCCATGATGTTGCAAATAGTAGGATTTCACCTTTCGTAAAGCTGAATAGTATTCTGTTGTGTCTATACCACATCATTTTTATCCACTCACCAATCAGTGGGTGCTGATATTGTTTCCACCACTTGGCTGTTGTAAATAATGCTGCAGTATGCATTGCAGTGCATACATTTCTTCAACTTAGTGTTTTTGTGTTGGGAGAGTAAATACCCAGTAGTGGAATAATTTGATGGTGTGGAATCTAAATTTTTAATTTTTTGAGATTCTCCCTACTGCTTCATACAATGCTTGCACCAATTTTCATTCCCACCAGTAGTGTGTAGGGATTCCTGTCTCTCCACGTCCTCTCTAACACTTGTTGTTTCTTTAGATACTAGCCATTCTCACAGGTGTGAAGTTATAGCTCATTATTGGTTGATTAGCATTTCTCTAATAATATGAGTTGATAAACATCATTTCATGTATCTGTTAACCCTCTGTATTTCTTCTTTATAAAAATGTCATTCATATGGTTTCACATATATGTAGCATATGGAGAAAATAAACAGATGAACTAAAATAAAAAAAAAAGTTATACTAAGTGAAAAAAGCAACAGCCACATGTTATATGACTCTCTTTACAAGAGGTCCAAAATAGGTAAATCCATAAGGACACAAAATAAGTTAGCAGTTGCCAGGGGATGGAAGGAGAAATTGAGGATAAATTCTTACTTTCTTTAATTCATTTTTTCTTTCTTTAATTTCTTTAATGTAATAAGGAATTCAGGCCAGAGGTGTAGGGGTTGGAGGTGAGAGGATTCACCAGAGACAGAGTGGGGAGCAGGACAGGCAGATTGACTGAAATACACTGCTGAGGAGAGCAGCAGGCAGGTCAAGAGAGGTCTGCTGGGCCATGTGGGTCAGCTCCCTGGCTGGGCATCAAACTCATGCTGCTGTGGCTGCAAATAGCTTTGTAGTGCTGCGCTTTAACCCCTTGTGCCACCAGGTAGGCCCCAGGAGTAAATACTTTTTTACTGGAATGATGGAAATGTTCTGAAATTAGGTAGTGGGGATTGTTGTACAATTTTGTGATATACACTGAATTGTGTACTTTAAAGTAACAAAACTTATGTCAATTATTGTCAATAATAATTTTTAAAATATGAAAAACAGCAGGGAAGAAAGGGATTTTTTTTTTAATGTTTTTGATGCCATGGAAGCCCAAAAGGAGGGATAGCTAGTTATGCACTGATTAGAGGATTCTTGGGATGATGCTTAAATTGGGTTTTGCTTAACTTGCTCTGAAAATTTCTTTGGCTTGAATACTGTGGTAAGTTTGGAGTTGATTCTGAAGATGTGGGAATGGGTCAAAGGATTTTGAGCAGAAAGGTGATGATTATCTTCAAATCAGTATTTTAGAGAAGTGTGTTGAGTAGATTGACAAGTAAAGAAACCATCTAGGAGGCTAGTGCGATACAGTAAGAGATGGTAACAGATTGAACAAGAACAGGAGTAGAACCAGAACATCTGCCTTGGAGCACTGCACAGGTCACACCAGGACAGCTTTTCAACTGGAAGGGGAGGTAAGGGAGGAAAAAGAAGGAAAGGTGGCTCCAAGTTTTGGTGCGTAGATGGCTGGTGATGTGACAGATGGAGTGAAAGAAAGGAACAGGGCTTACAGAAAGGCTTGCAGGTCAGCCTTGGAAATACTAAGTTTAAAGTAGGCATGAGACATTCAGATAAAAGACCAGCAACCAGGTTTATGGGGACATTGGGGCTGAACCTCAGAAAAAAAGGCAAGTAGAAACAAATGAGGGCATCCTCAGTGCAGAGGCTAGAAGCTGAGACTGGCAGCTGGCTATCACCCAGGGCAACACGCAGAGGGAAGGAGAGGGCCAGAGTGGCATTTCAGAACTTAGGTGCACCCCCCTCTGTCATCACTTCACTTGCCGTTACATATTTGTAGTTTGTCCTTCCCCCCATTGGAGTTATTTTCTTAAAACCAAGGATCATGCCTCTCATCTCTTTGTATATTCCTCTTAGGCTGGTGTGGTGCCTGGCATAGAGTAGCTCTCTGGAAATATTTGTGAAACTGAAGATTGCTTAGATTAAAGAGCCAGGCAGAGAGAAAGCCACAGTTGGGTAGGGATGTGAGGAAACCCTAGCGAGCAAAGAGAAAAGAAGTCATAATAGAATGGCCTGAGGAGGTCTTTGAAGAGATCCAAAGAGATGAACATTAGCAGCAGAAACCACTGGGTTTGGCGAGGAGGCTGTTCTTTCACTCTGAAGGAGTACAGCGTGAAGGCTGTTGAAGTACAGGGTGGAACTACGTTGTGTACACTGAGGAACAACTGTAAGACAAAGACGTCGGGGCTCCTGATTTGAAAGGAAAGAGAAAAGAATGGGACAGTGGCTTGTAGAATTAATCAAAGTTGATGGGAAGGATTTTGTTGTGGTGGTTTTGTTTTAAGACAGGAAACTTGAAGGTTTTTGTAGGGTGAGGAAAAGGCGCCATTAGGCACTGTGAACAGTGCCTAAGAAGAGCCCCAGGCAGTTGGAGACATTAACCCTGTGCAAGATTGAGACAGCTTCTCTTCTGAAGCAAGGGAGAGGATGGCTGTGGTGCAGACTAAAGAATGACAGTTGTTACTTGGTGATATCATCTGCCAGGCAAAGTGGTGGGATGGTGGGGGGTGGAGGGGTTTGGGTTCAACAAGTTTAGGAGAGATGAAACGATAAGTATAAGGAGTTGTCAGGTAGCACTGTGGTGGGGCTGGGGGGCAGAGGAGTTTACAAAATATATGTAGCAATGTCTTTATTTAGCTAGCCAACTCTGTTGAACATTCCTTCTGTAGTAAAACAGTAATAGCTGCGTGTATGTGGTCATGTAATTTTGCCCCAGACAGCCTGCTATCACTTCTCGTACATAATCTCATTCAGGTGTTACAGCCATCCCAGGAGGCAGGTACTGTCATCTCCATCTTATCGATGAGGACCTATGAAAGCTTGCCCAGGTCTACACAGCTAGTAAGTGGAGATACCAGAACCAAAAGAGAGATTTCCCGACTGCAAAGCCCAAGCCCTAAATGTGTGTGCTGTGCTCTGCTGCACGTCAGCATGGCCCCCCGGGGGTGGGAGGAGAAGGTGTGGCCCTGGGCAGGCTCTTCCTCTCATCCTGGGTGGTTGTCACACATGTAAGTTTCCTCTTTGGTGCTTTTTTTTTGTGCTGGTCTGGATGGTCACTTAAATATCTGACACTTGAATAGAAGTTAGAAAAGACCTCGTTTAGGATGTGGAACTTAGCCAGGCCTTGAAGAGGGGGGTCAGACAAGGACAAACCTTCGTGTGTGTCTCTTCCAGTTGCCTCATGTGTCTGCTTCTCCCTATTTACACCTTTCTCTGCTGCTAAACGATGGTGAAATGACATGCATCCAACTAGACATTAGAGCTCTTCTCTCTCCTCCTTGTTTTGGGGTAACTGCCTATTCTTCCCATTGGTGAAGCCATCTGCTCTCTACTAACCAGCCCTTCTGCTTTCTTCTTTCCCTGCACCCTCCACACCCCCAGCGTATCTGTGAGGTATATAATCGGAAACCCGCTAGCGAGCTGGAAGAACAGATGGAAGGTGCCCGACGGCGAGTCTCCCAGTTACAGCTGAAGATCCAGCAGGAGACTGGTGGCTTAGTGGTGAGTGACAGCAAGTGCAGCTCCAGGAAGGGCAGTCACGCAGGTGACTGGGGGAGAACTAGGGAGGAGGCCGGGACAGAACTCCAGAAGGCAGGCGGGACCTGGGGGTGAGCTCATAAGTTGGTCTTACAAGAAAACAGAGCCAGCACATCTTTACTCAGCACCAGAGAGGCTATAAAAAGAAAAGGCCTATTTCCTGTCCTCCAGAAGCTTACAGTTGTAGTGGAAAGAACTAAGTTGCATTGTCTGTCAGCCTCAGTCCTCTGCCTGCCTGTCCCCTCCCAAGTAGCTTCCTCAGAGCTTGTGTACATTCCTGCACAGATTTTACTCACCCTTCATCTTGTAGCTTATTCCACCACTTTTTTCTCAGGTATTGTGGTGGTGGTTTTTTTTTTGGTTTTTGTTTTTTAAGAGTCCAGTTGACTTTATTAACTAGTTCCTGAATTGTACACCATCCCATCCACTGCCTGGGTCCTTTTTAAAGTCAGTAATCAGTGAAGGGTCCCTGACAAGGAAGAGGCAGCTACAGCAGCAGCTAACCACATTTGTGGGACGTCGTGGGAAAGAGACAGCCCCTTGTCTGTTCTAGTCAGGGACCTTACTGTTAGTGTCTGCCTTATCTTCATCAGGTCTTAATTCTTTGGGTAAATAAGAAGTACCTCTACAGAAATTTTAAGATCTCCAAGAATAATATTTGTCAAAGTCATAGAAATCAATTGAGGATGATCCACTTTCTTTTTTAGAACATCCAGACATTCTAATTAGAGGTTAGTCAGAGTTGAGCTGTGTTACTTTCTGAAGGACTCTTCAGGGTCATACGGATGACAGCCTGTTGTGGGCTTAGACCATCTGGAGTCACCGTTGCACCCTGGTGCTCACCAGCATTAAGACTCTTGTGCAAGTCTCTTGATCCCTGGGAGCCTGGGATGCATTGTCTTCTAAAACGGGGCTCACAGCAGTTGTGCCCATGGGTGACTGAGGGCGTGAGAGCACGCCTCCACAGTCGGGCACAGTGCCGCGCAGCTGCGGGTATCGGTGTTCGTTGTCCTGCAAGGTGTCTGATGCTCAGGGTCTGAGCATCAGTGCTGGTCTTAAGTTTCCTGGCTGGGCTTCCCTATGATCGCTGGGCTTGTGGCCTTGTGTGTGACATCGGAGTACTATACCTGCCTCAGAGTTGTTGAAAGAATCAGTGAGTATAGAAAAGAATGACTCATCCTCAGTAAGGCCTGCAACCATGTTTTCCATCACATTGGCTGGTTGTCAGCCCCAGACCATCACTGCAGTCTATGTCAAAGGTATATAGATGTGACCTTCTGTGTCTTCTCTCAGCCACCTGCTGGAACTTTTTCTACTTTCTGGTAGGAAGACCTTTTTGTGTGTAGCCCAACTAAGGGAAGGCATACTCTGCATCTAAAATAATAAATCAAGTGAGTTTTTTTAAATTTATTAAAGGTAGAGACCTCTTTCCACCATCAAGGGACACTGTCCCCAGCTGTATGACTGTACAAATGTATCAAGAGCTCTGCCAGTTGGGCATTTTTAAGTCAGTGAAGCAGAAGAGGCTGTTAATTATTAGTAGATATTATCTGCTGAAATTGAAGAGGGTTGACTGGAGGAGGAAACAGTAGGGAAGAGACTCCCAGGACTTGCCCACCCTTCAAGTCTTTTTCTTTGTAGGATGTACTTCCACTCTGTGGTGACACCAGCCAGAGAACATCGGAAGGTGAGCCTCCCATGTCCCTTCCTGGCATATATCTAGCCTACAGTTCTTACCTGTTGTCCCCTCCCATGGACAGAAAATGCATAGTGCCTGCCCCTGAGAAGTGGGCTATGAGAGAAGCCCTGTTACTACCAGGGTAACTGGGTACAGCTTACTCTGTAGAAATGAGTTGCTCTGGGTAGCAAAGTTGGGGCATGTTGGATAATGTCAAGAGACAGACTGCCTACAGTGCCGGCTCTCAGAAGCCTGACCACATGGAGAAGAGCTGAAGAGGGTAACATAAGGTGAACTGAAGGAAAGCCCACGAAGAGGTAGTTATTTCAGGTGACATGATCTGGGCCCGGCTGGAGGTAGGTGTAGCACCCTGGACTGGGGTATCATGACAAGAGAATCCTGAAGGGAAACTTCAGAGAAGGGAGATGCCGCAGGTACCCAGAATCAGGGTTCAGCTTTGCTCGGGCCTCAGCTTCTTCCTTACCATATGAACTACTTCCTTCTCAGGCCGCCTCTCCCTGGATTCACAAGAAGGGGACAGCGGCTTGGACTCTGGGCCAGAACGCTTCCCTTCCCTAAGTGAGGTGAGTACTAACAGGCGTGAGCCTCTTTTTAAACTCCGTATCTAGAGGCCCAGTTGTAGTTCTAAGGATTTAGTCACTCTGCTCCATATTTCAACATGGTTCAGATGTTTCTTTTGTGTGGGATCATCAAATCTGGCTTCTGCTTTTATCATAGTCAAGTCTGTTATATCAGAGCAGGGTAAAGAGGTCATGTCATGAACTCCAGCAAGCATTGAGCAGGAAGCAACAGACATAAACCATGTGAAAGGCATGTCTACAGGGAGCATCCCCTTAGAGGAGTGCAGCAAACCCAGTTCATTCAGAAGTCTAGCCTCTTTCTTTGCAAATCTTTCTGTTCTTGAACAGCTCCTCTTTTCTGGAGTGGTCAAAGAATTTTAGATTTTGACCTCAAAGGTTATCCTTCCAGATGTTCTAAGTTTGTATTTGTGAACTGCAAATACAATTTTGTGATTATAAAAATAAGGATCCATGGAAGGAATAATGATGTCAGTAAAATATTTACTTAGGTTGATTAAAGATGAGCTAATTAGGTAAAAACCTGTTTGAAATCCAATCTTAAATAATAGTTGGAAAATATTTCCTTATTGCTCCCACGTGTTTGTGGGAACATGACGACTGGGAAGGACATCCCATCTGTGGGAGCAGAACCGAGGGTGGGAGGTCACTGAATAACCCGCATCCCTGGGACTTGCCATCTTGGAGGCAATGCCAACTCAGTGCAGTGGACTCTGGGTACAGTCCAGGGAATACAGCGTGACTAGCTGTTCGCCTTCGGCTGGTCCTACAGTCTCTCCAAGTTGTAGTTTCCTTGTATGGAAGCGAAAGGAATGATACCATCTCAGAGGCTGCTGAGAGTCGGTGTGCTGCTATGCAGTCAGGCCTCACAGTGCTTGGCACAGAGAAAGTCGGTTTGTGTATGAGCTGCTGAGTGGTTACCGCCAAGCAAGCCGAGCCCCAAGAACCTTCTGAACAAGTTTTCTTCTCACCAACTCCTCTGTTGCTCTAGTCATTAATGAATCGGAACTCCGTATTGTCAGACCCGGGGCTAGACAGTCCACGCACATCCCCCGTGATCACTGCCAGGGGGGCTCAGCACCACCGGCGGCAGGGCTCTGATGCACCCGTCCCACCCGCCAGCAACCAGGTGAGTGAGCTGGGCCGTCTGTGGTTTCCTTTCCCTTTTTTCAGAACCAGGTCACCACTGCAGGTCAGCATGTCATTAGCCTTGACTAATCAGACTTAGGTGTTTTGAGATAGATGTCTAGAGGATAAATAGTAAAGAATAGGAAATAGATGTTTCAAAGTTCCTGCAGAACTGTGATTTTCAGTTTTTTCTCCCTTTTACAAAATCTTTCCTTAAACAAAATCTTCTTGTTCACATCCCAGTGAGAAAGCAGATAAAATACTCAGCTACCTTGAGAGCTTTCCTGGTCAGCCTTCCTAGCCCCAGAGCACTGAGACTCTGCAGAATCTCATTTGGAAGCCATTTGCTGGCAAGGGTAGAATTAGGTCCAAGGAGGTCTCGAGAAGACTGGTTTTGGCAGAAAGATTGTGAAGAATCTGGCCTGTCTGACAATGGAATGAGCTGACTTGAGAACCAGGGAATTGCCTATCACTGTTTGGGCAGAAATTGGGCCCTTCCCTGCCAGACACACTATGAAGAAATCCAGTTTTGTGACACAGTGTTTCTTAAATTAATGCATCTACAACCTGAGAAGTGACTTTTTTTCTGTATCTTCAAAACTGCCATATAAATAAATGTTACTTAATAATTTTCTTTAAGCTAACTTGCTTTTTAAAACTTAGATTTATTTTCAACGAAATTTGTCATTACCTTAAATTAAAACCAATATCACACACTGTCTGGTGCTCTAGTTTTACCCATATAGGATAGAATTTTGTTACTTTTAGATCTTGGAGAAGGAAATGTATCTAACACATCTTAAAATGCCTGGTGCAACAGCTGCTGTGCTAGATCCTTTAGGAAAAAAAGTATCATTTAATTCTCATAATCAGGAAAGGAAGGAGGTAGACAGTGGAATCTTCCTTTTGTCAGTGAGAAAGCTAAGGCCAAGAAAGGTTAAGGGAGTATTGTTGAAGGACACCATTGTGGGAGCAGTGTCAGCCAGACCCTAGTTTCCCCAGGCCCCCAAGCAGGCTACTCTTCACTTCATGCCTACTGCCTCCCCATCACCCCACACTGGGCATTTCAGCACAAAGTTCAGGTGCATCTCTTATTCTTTTATTTTTTTCACGACTTATTTATTTGTGCATAAAAGAGCTGGGGTACAGGCTAGAGAGAGATGTGGGAGGTGGGAGGATTCACCAGAGACAAGAATGGGGAGCAGAACCAGCAGATCCACTGAAACACACTGCTGAGGGGAGCAGTGGGTAGAACAGCAGAAATCTGCTACACCATGTGATCACCTCCCTGGCCAGGGATCACACTCGAACTCATGCTGAAGCGAACTCATGCTGAAGTGGCAGTGAATAGCTTCACAGGGTTGCACTTTAACCCCTTGCGCCACCAGGGAGGGCCTTGCATCTCTTATTCTGAAGGGATGTTTTCCTTTCGGTGGTTGACAGAAGCAGGTATGGAGTTTTTAGTATTAGGGCCCTCTTTGTCCTCCTTAAAACTTGTTCCTCTTCTGAAATTTATTTAAAGTGCTACTTTTGAGTGGTAACAGTGAACATAGTACATTTCTTTTCTTAATAATTGTGTTAGTGAGCACTGTGCTATCATATGAAACTGTCAGCAATAGGCAGGTGGAATAATGGGATCTCCCCCTTCCCCTTAAATCATTTTTTTATAAGTATAGTCTTTGTAATCAGAAAAACTCTGTATTTGTAAAGATTTAAAAAAACAAGCTCTCCACGCCCTCCCTGGTGGCACAGCGGGTTAAAGCACTGCACTAAGAAGCTAAAGCCACTTCCACATGAGTTTGATCCCCGCCTGCCCCGGAGGTGACCACATGGCGCGGCAGACCTCTCCTGACCCGCCTGCTGCTCCCCTCAGCAGTGTACTTCATCCATCTGCCTGTTCTGCTCCCTGTTCTATCTCTGGCCTGTACCCCAGTTCTGTATGAAAAAATAAATATTTTTAAAAAAAAAACCAAAAACAAAAAACAAGCTCTCCAAACAAGCAAAAAGCCTAGTCCTTTCAGGTTTCATCTGCCCCAGGGGGTTAGCAGGAGAGGTCATCCAGTCCCCCCCTAGGGGCCCTGGCCCTCAGTAGCTTGGAACACTAGGGTGCTACAGGAGAGGAGGATCCTCTGGCTGTCCCTGGGAAATATGAATTCAGCGTTTCAGACCAGACTGCTTCTCTGCACATGCTGTTCCATCTCTCTGAGCTTCCCTTTCTTCAGTTACAAGTGAGTGTTACATTCTGACCTCTGAGATACCTTCTGGGTCCCTTGGTGATTCTGGTAGAGCCTATAGATACCTCAAAAAAGAGGTATTAGGAGTGGTGATTCTGGTAGAGCCTATAGATACCTCAAAAAAGAGGTATTAGGAGTGTCAGGAAAAGGTCCTTGAGATAGTGCAAGGTTTATGCACTGTGGGCCCCCTCACATCTAATCATCTATTTGATGGCATGGCAGTTAGGATTAGGCTTAGGAAGAGAGAAAGAGAGAGGGTGGGAGAGAGGGAAGAGAAAAAAAAAAAAAAACAAGCTAAGAAGTTTGGATTTCGACAGACAGTGGGCTTCTACAATAGATTCTTGAGCACACAAGGAAGTGATAGAATGTTAAAGAAGCAGCACTGAAGGAGGCAGAGGTTAGACTCCTGGGCGCTCTAACAGAGACCAGCCTTCAGGTGCTTTCCAGCATACAGAAACCACGAGCAGCACAGTGGTAGGCACCAGACTTGGTATGTGGGGAGGCGAGGGGGGGAGGGAGCAGCTATTCAGGAAAACACCCAGACCCCAGGCTGACAGTCCAGCAGGCATCAGAGGGTTCTTGTTTTTTTTGAGTGGGGGTTGGTGGGGTGGGGGGTATACAACCTCCTGAGACTTTTCACAAACAGGAAGAGACACATTCTCTTACTTCCCATCCTCATATGCCCTATGACCAGGGGGTGTGCCCCACCCAGAAGCAGTTGTCTTCCTGTAGTGGAAATAATTGTTTCTGTCCTCTGAGATGTGGCGTGGGAATGAGATGCCGGTGTCAGCCAGGCCCATGTCGCCTTCCCTGGAGCTGCTTAACAGCTTCACTGCGGGCTTCGGAGCCCTGTCCACTCACACTCCTCTCTCCAACTTGGCTCCCCCAGGGTGCAGATCAGAGCCCAAAGCCTTTAATTATTGGCCCAGAGGAAGATTATGACCCGGGATATTTCAACAACGAGGTAACGTTTCCTGCTTTTCTTCCTTCATCATTCTACCATTTTGGTCACTTTTGACAGAACAGTCTCACCAGCACCAGCTGGGAGGGAGCATGGGGAGGGCAGTTTATCCGTCCCAGAGGGCAGGTGCCAAGGGTGCCAGATGGAGCAGGCGCTGCTACTGCGCCTGCCGCTGCACCGCCCAGCTGTCCTCGTCCTTCCGCCTTCCAGAGTGACGTCATATTCCAGGATCTTGAGAAACTGAAGTCACGGCCAGCTCACTTGGGTGTTTTTCTCCGTTACATCTTCTCTCAGGCAGATCCCAGTCCACTGGTAAGTCACCGTACCAGTTTTGATTGATTGCCTGTCTGTATTGAGAAGGAGGCTCTCTGGCCTCTGGGCCTGCTCTGTCAATGTCGTAAATCAGATCTTAGGCACAGTCGTGTGTCTCATGAACAGAGACAAAATGGACAAGAAGCCGCAAATGGACAGAAGCGACTCTTGACGGCTAACCCCATCCATGGCGTACGGAGGGGCAGGAAGAGCTAGACCAGGGAACCACCATTCTGGATCACCTTTGAGAAGATGGTCTTTCTAGAGTTTTGTGAATGTCAGCGATACAGACCCACTGTGGGGAATTGAGAGGGTGGCCCTTGCAAGCATACTGTGCCATACAAGAAAGTTTGACAGAGAGGCAACGGATAGTCTTGAGATAACTAAGGGAGATCAGAGTCTCTGGAACAGCCCTCAGGGCTTGCAGAGAGGAAGGCGAAGGGTTATCGTGTCTCTGGACAAGCCTCTGGCCGAGGCAGCAGCAGCAGCAGTGTTTCTTTGTGAGGGCACTACTGTTAGAAGGCTGGTCAGTGTCCATTGGCTCAGCGGGTGTTCTCAGAACATCCGTGTGTAAATCCCAAGTGCCGGCTCCTGAGAAGTTTTTCTGAGTGAAGATGGACATTTCACAAAGGGAAATAAAACACCCTTAGAAAACCTTGTATAAATAAATAAATACAGGGCACAGAAGAGCAAGGTGGCGAGGGCGCAGAACGGGCAGTGGGTGTGTGTGGAGGCGGAAGGCAGGGAGTCGTGGCCGCAGGTTTTTCGGCCACAGAGCCTCGCACATCTTGAGCTGCAGGCTTCTTTGGTGCGGAACTGTCATACGGGTTGTAGGGAGTTTACTGCCTCACTCCACCCAGGAGATGCCAGTCACTCCTCACCCGGCGCAGCCATGAGAAACATCTCCAGACACTGCTGGTTGCAGGGGCAGGGGAGAGTTAAATCACCACTGGTAGAAAACCACTTCTTTAACCCATTTGACCTCTCCTTTCAGCTTTTTTACTTGTGTGCAGAAGTTTATCAGCAGACCAACCCTAAGGATTCCCGAAACTTGGGAAAAGGCATCTGGAATATTTTCCTAGAGAAAAATGCGGTAAGGCAGTCACGGATTGATTTAAAATGTTATACTCTTTGGACCACTCTGAGGCAGAGAGACGTTTTCAGCCAGATATTTAAAGCTGAATAGATAGAGGTTATTAAAAAGAAGTATAGGCTGAGAATTTTGGATCTCTGGATTCTGTTCTAGCTCTGCTCTTCCCACATGTGACAGGGCAGCCTACACATTGCCTCTCCAAAATGTTTTGAGGAAGACTGCATCAGAGTTGAATTACTCTTTCCAGTAACAGTACCCTGAGCCCCCCACTACTCCCTGCCTTGCTACCTTTCCTGGGACAGAGAAGTAAGCCTAGAACATTGCACAGTGGAGGTGAGTGAGTAGGAGAAGAGTCCAGGTTTCCATGGCTCAGCCTGACTTGGCTATCACTGCCTGAAATCAGGATCTTGCGGGAGGAATCCCAGAGTATGTGGGGTAGCTGGCACTGTCTGGGTTCAGTCCCAAGACTGTGATAGGGCTCCCATCTAGGAGAGAAGTTTCCATCCTAGACATCCTAATCTAGTCTAGTAAGTGATTCCCAGAATGCTTGTTTATCTAGAAGTAAGCCAGTAAGCCTAATGAAACTGGGAAATAAACTTTTTCCTCAAGATATGTATTTGCGTCGTTAAAGGGTCTTGGGGTAAGGAGGTTAGAGATGCCAGTCATACCCTGTTGGATGGTACAGAACCCCCACTACCAAACTGTCAGGAACTCGGGAAGCAGAAACCAGCTGCTGTGTTAACTGGAAGACTTGCTAACATCAGTTCAGTTTTCCCTTGGGAGTGAATGGGAGTGTGGAGGCCTTCAAATAGCCTCACAAAACAAAGGTTCTGCTGCGCTGCTAACTTGGCACCAGCCCACTTTTTGGAACAAGTCACTGCTCATAAGCCTATCCTGAAACTCAGCTCTAGGGGAGAAAAGTGGGGTAGATAGAAGGACGGTGGCGTGTTCCAGAGCCCTTCTTGCCCTGCACATGCCTCCCTTGTTAGCACAGGGTGTGGACCTCACCACGTGTGCCTCTCTTTTCTGTTTTGTAGCCTCTGAGAGTGAAGGCCCCAGAGATGTTACTGGCTGAAATTGGTAAGTTGGCTCATTGGTCTCATCCTGAACCTTCAAGAAGCTCCAGGTATAGAGGAGACATAACCAATTTTCCTCTATCTAGAGAAAAATGGGGACAGTCCTCCAGAAGTCCTCCCAGTAAGTGATGCACAGGCATGACAGGTCCTGCCTGGGAACTCACTCTGCTGGTGCAGCTTGGCGCAGAGAGATAGCACTCTAAGGAAACCTGGGCTCATTTTTGCTAGCTCTCTCCTGACCTCTCAGGGCATCAACTTGCTCATCTGTACAAAGAGGAAAGGGGCCTCAATTATTGTCAGCCTAGCCTGATCAACTCTCAGAATCCCTTGGAGAACTCTTTAGAAATACAGAAACCAGGGCCTTGTCCTCATACTTACAGGATCTCCGGAGTGTTCAGGGTCTTATTTTTGCTTTAAATTTTTTGTTTAAGATTTATTTATTTATGCATACAAAACTGGGGTACAGGCGAGAGGTACAGGGGAGGTGAGAGAATTCACGAGAGACAGTGGAGAGCAGAACAGGCAGATCGACGAAGTACACTGCTGAGGGGAGCAGCAGGCAGGTCAGAATTCTGCCACGCCATGTGGGTCAGCTCCAGGACTGAAGATTGAACTAGTACTGAAGTGGCTACAGCTCGCTTGTAGTGTAGCGCTTTAACCCGTTGCGCCACCAGGGAGGCCGTGCTTTAGTTTTTAGAGTTCCTTAACTAAACCTGATAATAGCTTGTCCAGAAAGAGGGCCTAGAGTCCTGGGCCCTTGGCCCCCTTCTCATTCTCAAGGCCTGAGTAGAAAGGAGAATGAGCACTCCAGAGAGTGCACTTGGAAGTCACAGGGCAGCCAGCATCTGGACACTAATGAGAGGGGCTTCACAATTTCTCTATTGAATACAGTGTGGAGGGCCTTGGGTCTCGGCTGTCAGGACTCCATTCCTGAACTCAGGAGTGAAGTGGTAGATCCAGGCCTCTGCCTCCTTTGGGCTAATAGAAGGCCAGAAAGCCAGCCTCCCCTCCTCGGACCACAAGAAGCTAGTAGGCTTCAAGATGCTTGCAGAAGCAGCTTCATCTTCCCTGACATGCCAGTCCACTTTCGTCTCCACTCGGCTTCCACACAGACCTGCGCCTGCGGAGTGGTGAGGACGCGCGAGCCCTTCTCTGTGACGCCCAGGGGGCGGCCATGCCAGACATCCAGGAGCAGATCCTTGACTACAGGTTGCCTTGCCTCCTCTGGCCTCTCCTCTCTGCCCCTGCACCCTTTTCCTCCCCCCGTGACATAGTCTCTTGTTCTGTGCACATTTGCCCCACTCTGGGGGTCTGTCTCTGAGTGTCTGTGTGCATTTGTTTCTTTCTCTGTGTCGCTGACTCAGAACCAAGCGCACCCTGGGGCTGGGCAGCCTGTATGGGGAGAACGACCTGCTGGACCTGGACGGAGACCCTGCCCGAGAACGCCTCGTGGCTGAGAAGCAGCTGGCTGCCCTAGGAGATATTTTGTGAGTCTCTAGTCCCTCAACCACCCTCTAAACTTGCTGAGCAGATGGACACACTTCTTGAGTTTGTTCCAGACCACTCCTCCTCTTCCTGAGTTTTCCCCTGAACGATAGGGCCCCACAGGTTTGCCACTGTTGCAGGCGTTGTTGGACCTGCGGCACCTGACAGTGACTTGGTGCTGAAGCCACCTCAGGCTTCCTCAGCTTGGGAGCGTGGTGAGCTTTCGGCTTCTCCTCCTCCCGACCTCCGTACCTCCACGGAGGTGATCTTATTTGACATGCGTGTGAGAGCCACACCGAGTGTGCAGTGGGTATAGTTCCTTCAGGGCAAATAGGACTGGCTGGTGGGAAACTGAGCCCCAGGTACTGATCCCACATCAAAAGACCTGATCCCACATCAAAAGACCAACCTGACAGGTTCGAGCGCCTCTGGCACAGCTGCTGCCATTGCCCCTTTCCACTTCGTTTTCCTGAAGTGTTCAGGCACCTGTGAGGACACTTCCAGGCTTGGAGCGGTGTTGCCCAGCACGCCTTCTCTACCAAGGAGTTGTGTGGCCTTGGTCAAACTGTTTCATCTCTTTGGTCTCACCCAAAGCAAGGTGATTTCCATAGTTACTGTTAACGCCAGTGTTGCAGTTCAGCAATTTGTGGAAATCTTACTGTCCGCTAAGCACTAGCCTAGCTCCTGGAAGACATAGTAGACGAAACAAAAGTTATGGGCGGGCCTTATGTTACAGCAGGAAGAGAAAGCTCTGAGGGATAAACCTGCACATTATGGAGTCTCTTAGAAATACAAGTTCTGGGTGGAAGACAAGCAGGGGGGAGGGGAGGGAGAGAGGCAGGAGCACCAGAGCCAGTTGCAGTTTTAGAGCTGTCAAGGGTGAACCTCATCCAGAAAATGGCATTGGGCTGCTGAAGGATGCACAGCCACGTTTTCCTTGGATTCAGCAAGGGAAGAGCATCCCAGGCAGAGGGAACAGCCAGGGCAAAGTGGAAATGTGTGTAGCACATGTCAGACACCATGGCAGCCCAGAGGAGAGAGGGGGAGTGTGCGCCAGGCCAGAGCCAAACAGGTGGGCAGCCACCTGCAGCTGTCACAGGCTTTGGCTTCCCTCTCAGGGAGGGGTCATCAGGGCGAGGAGGGACAGTGGTGGGTGCTGGGTGGTGGACAGCAAGGGGAGGTCCCAACAGGGAGGCGTCACAGGAATCCAAGCCCTGGCGCCTCAGATCAGTGCAGCTGCGATGGCAGCTGTGTGGCGCCATCGGTGCCGAGTAGAATTTCGTACAGAGAATCTCTTACCAGAGAATTTCTTACAAATTGAATGTGGACATGAGAGACAAGTCAGACGCCATCTTTGTTACTTAAGGACGAGGGGCCGCCAGTTGAGATGGGGAGGCTGCTGGTGGAGTTGTTCTGAGAAGTCAGGAACTTTGTTTCCAGCACCTTCAGTCTGAGGTCTCTCTCTCAGCTCTCAATCTGGAGACTTGTATTGGCAGCTGTGTATCTATATCTGGCTTTGGATAAGATGGGACCCTCCAAGGTTCCACAGGGAGGGCAAGGTTTTTGGAAGCAATCCCCGACCTTTAGCCAAGCCCAACTCTTCCTGGGCCTCAGTTTCCCCTGTGGATAGATGGTAGTAATCACCCAACCACTGCAGGCCAAGATCATGGGCACCTCCAAATTCAGTAGAATAATTATTGACACCTTAAGGTGCCCCCGCTTATAGTGGTTTCTATTTAAAGCAGTGGAGTTTCAGTCTCATTAAATAGCAACATAATGCCTACCATGAATTATTCTGAGAATTAGATGGATTAGAACATGAATAGTGTAGTGCCTAACCCATAGACACGTTCCCAGGTCACTTACTCTTACCATTTACCTCCTCTAAAAGTGTTTCTTTGAGCTGGTCTTGAGTATCACGGCTGTTCTCTCCCCTCCTTCCCTCAATGTCAGCCCAGTCCTTACTTCTAGATGGACACAGGAGCGTAGGAGGAACCTCTTCCTCCATAGTAACGCCACAGGTGGAACCAGATGCCAAGCAAGAAGCTGTGTGTGCCACATTCCCCTTCCTGATAGCAAGAAGGACATCATCATCAACTGTGCTGAGTTCCTTTAGAGAACAAGGACTCTCACCGTCCTCCTTGCTTCCCCACCCTCCTGTCCTCCAGGAAAGAACTGGCCCTCCTCCCAGTCTCAACACAGGCAAACATGCCTCTGTCTTTTTGTCTGAGTCATCTGTTCTTTCTTTTTGTTCCAGGTCCAAATATGAGGAAGACAGGAGGTGAGTGGGTCTGTAGTGTGGGTTTGAGGTAGGAAGGGAGCTCCCGTGCTTTCCATCCCTGCAAGTCACAGGGAGTCCCTAGCATCACAGGATCGTGTAAGACCACAGTCTGTCCAAGCTTAGTTCCCTGGTGAAACTACAGCACAGTCGGGCCATAAGGTCCAGGCCCCTGAGTCTAGGACTGCTCCTCAGTGTGAGCCCTCCAAACTGCCACCCTTCCTGACATCTCTGCTCCTGGTTTCCTCTTCTTCGTCAGAACTAGCCCTGTGTCTCCCTTCCGTCCCTCAAACTACCTCAAATAATAACGGTGATAGAATCAGCCCTGTTAGCACACCTGCAGCGGGGAGCCCAGCACTGTTTCCGGTATTGGCACATATGTTCTCAAAATGTTAAAATAAGTGTGTATTCAATGAGCATACACATACTTAGTAAGGAAGAGCAGGTAGCATTGGAAGCTTACAAGCAGAAGCACTTGCTGCATTGAATCCACAAAGTAGGTAAACTGTCTACTGATTTGAGGGCCAAATATTTTTTATTTTTTAATTTTTTTTTAATTATTACAAAAGTTTATTTTTACATCATTTTGCACATTTATTTTTCCATCTCGATTGTAATCCCTGCGGGTTTCCCATCACCAAATCACCTGTGTGCCACCACCATAGTCCCGTGCATTTCCCTCGCTTCCCCCCCCCCGTTTTTGATCCCATTCCCCACTCCACCCCCACAAAATGGGGCCAAATATATTTTTAAGCACAGAGCTCTGGGCTGTCATCTGTGGCAGTTGGAAAGCTACCTGACGCTGCCCTTCCATGCCTGTCTGTACAGGGTGGTGGGTGGCAGGGACAGGACACCTCAGCAGAGGCTGACGGTGTTCTCCCATCCCCCTTGTCCCCGCCCCCTCGTGCACACACACATGCACACACGCACGCCAGAGGACATTGACTTTGGACCCTGCCTGTCCTCCAGCTCTGCACATGGCTCATGTGTCTACATTTTAGAGAATGGACATCCTGCCATCCTATCATTAGGAAAAGTTCTGCTTAGGAAAAGAAAACCATTTCTCCTGAGAATAATGCCGGCCATTTAGCCAACTTCTCCCTACAGTCAGTCCCGTTTGTGTGTTCCAGGGCTCCCTCTGAATTCTGACCCCGGAGCTGGGTGGTGAGGACATTGTTAGAATCGTGGTTCTGTTCAGCCCACCTGCTGGCAGGTGCATGGCTCAGCCTTCACAACCTCTGTTCCTCTCACAGTGCCCCCATGGATTTTGCCGTCAGCACCTACATGAGCCACGTTGGGATCCGTCTTAGAGAGATGCGACCCTCCAGCACCACTGAAAAGGCCCCATCTGCACCTGACAAGGACAAGTGGCTGCCCTTCTTTCCAAAGGCCAAGAAGGTGACAGAACTCCCCTAGAAAGCACCTTCTGGCATAGGTCTCTGTCCTCAGCAGCAGCTTGGGGAAGCCAGTTTTCTGGTTCTTCCTGCCACCTACGGAGGGGAAGTCCATGAAGAGGTCCCGTCCCCCAGGTCAGGAGCAGATGTGCTGCTCAGGACACAGTCAGGACGTTACTCCTCAGATACTGGCCTGTGGCAAGCCTGGGGGCAGTGGCATAGTGAGTGGTGGCCAGGCCTGCTGTCAGGCTTTCTCCAAACCACAGTGCTTCTTGTCTCAGCAGAGCAGCAATTCCAAGAAAGAAAAGGATGCCTTGGAGGACAAGAAGCGAAACCCCATCCTCAAATACATTGGGAAGCCCAAAAGCTCTTCCCAGAGCAGTGAGTATTAGTGAATCAACCACCACCAGCAGTGACCTCAGCCTGCACTGACCAGGCAGGCAGGGGTCTCCCTGTGTCCCAGGAGCACTCAGCCCACAGCTTCCTCTGGGCGCTGCCCTGCCTCTTGCTGCGCTTCGTGCAGGCTCTGAGCAGTGCACGGTAACTGCTTTCAGGGCCAGGGAGGCTCTGCAGGCCTGGATGTGACTCTGTGGACTCAGTCAACTGTCACTACCAGCTGGCCACTCGAGAATATTTCCTCCTTAGCAGAGATTGCTCTGTTTACCCTAAATACCCCTTCACCTTCATCCATGGGTTCTCTACTCCTGAGGTCTTGTCTTAGGCACAATTAATGGGCCCTTGATGGGGGAGTTGGAGTCACTACTGAGCAGAACTAAGTGAGTAGGGGGCAGATTTTGGGCTCAGAGTTTCCCCTAAAACCATGTGTGACCCAGAAGTCAGTTGACCCAGCTGTGTCTGAAATGGCTGCTGGCCCTCCCAGCCGGTACCTAACGACCCCACTATTAGTGGGGATCTCAAAGGGCCATGGGGTGAGCCTGCTGCCTTTTCTGAAATTTCTGCTTTGGGGGACGGTAGGAGGGGACACTTCAAGATCGCCTGATTTTTACCACTGCCTTTTCATTTTCCAGCTTAATGTAATTTTTGTTTTGACTTTTGAAACATTAATTTGACTTTTCATGGTTTACTTTTGTTTTTGTTTGTTTTCTTTTAGCATTTCATATTCCCTTGTCCCCTGTGGAAGGTAAAAGGACCATTTTCTTTGGGTTTTTCTTGGCATTAGGACTGAGTTTCTGTTTTCCAAACCCTCTCTTTCCTCCTTCCCTTTCCCTTCTCCACCTTTTCCCCGCCTGCCCCCTCTCCTCCTTTCCTTTCCTCGCTCCGTTCCTTTTATATGTTCTTCCTTGTTGCTAAGGCTGCTCTGAGACAGACACCCCTGCCCCGGGGTCCCGCCCTCTGCCGAGGACCCAACTGAACCCGCACAGCGCAGAGTGAGCAGGGGCCTTCCTGGCGCCTCCACAGAGGCCTTCTCCTCTGGCAGGCATCCCGCAGCTAAGGCCTTTAGCTTTTATTCTGTCACCTCTCCACAGTGGATCTAAAAGCCCAGGCTTCTGTATCAGTGAGGGAACTCTCGCACGCTGAAATGTCTGTCAACAGACATGCCTCAGTTTTTGTTATTTTTAATGGAAATAATAAAAATTCTCGTTTTTTTGAAGGTCATGAGGTTTGAGTTTTTTATTTTTTGTTTTGTTTTTTTTTAGTAATTAATGGTCTCTGACAGTTTTTATTTGAGATATTTTTATTTATTTTACTTCAGTATAGCACCTCCCCCTCTCGACACTATACAGCTGCAGCATGTAGAGCCCAAAGTATATTTGAGTATCTGATACCTTCTAGAATACACACACACAGACCTGACTCTTGAACAACACAGAGATTGAGACACTGGCCCTTGGCAAAGAGCAATTCATCATAAAGGTCTTCATCCTCATCCCCTTCACATTGAGTAGGCTGTGGAGGACCAGGCAGAGAAAGGTTGAGAAAAAGCCAGTGTCAGCAGACCCGCTTCACTCCAGCTGTGTTTTGAGGGTGATGTACATATAAAACACACATTAGCCCAAAGAAGCTTAAAGCCTGGAGTTAGAAAAGTTCATTTCATATCAGAGGGGTTCATATACGTGCAAGAAAGTGATGAACGTTTTTTAGGTCCATTTTTAGGTCCTAGTTAGTAAAGATCGAGTGTAATCAGGAAACTATTTTGTTCCTAGAATTCATTTTATGTAGAAGTAGCAATTAAAAGCAATGATCTTCAAAGCAATTTTAGAAGTTAATAGATCCCTAGGCTCATTATGCTGTTTTAAACAATAAAAATGATTATTGAAAAAAAAAGTTTATAAAAACAATGAAAAAATTAGACTAGCCCTGAAATCTGGGCCTTCGGTTCACAGGTGTTTCCTCCCAGGCGCCCTCCCAAAGCAAGCGTGCCAGCACTGGCCTCTGGGCTGCTCGTAGCCCACCCAGCTGTGAGCTTTGTGTCAGAGAGGGCGCAGGAACCCTGGGTGGGGCTGCTGATCCCAGGGCAGGATGCGGGTGCTGGCAGCCACCATCTCTTTGAGTCAGATCTTCTCATTGTAAGGTCAGGCTTTGGGCTCATGTTCTAAAGCTTCCAGGACATCACATTAATATGAATCCACAGCTAAAGACCAAATACCTGCCAGAGTCAAAAAGTCAGTAGTAGAAAATATCGCCACTTATGATCACCAACTACTGTCTCTGTTGTTAATGAAAATATCATCTGTTTGTAGCCAACAATTTAACATTTGTATCTAGTTTCATTGTTGGGCAGACCTACCCCTAAACAGCCCTTCTCTTCACACACACGCATACCCCTGCTGTGCAGCTTTAGAAAAATGCCACCCTAGCTGCCTACAACTTGTAAACTTGAAGACACTAGCTAAATAGGTTAGCTCTCCCCTTGGGCTTGGAATTTTTTCTTATGAAACGAGTTTAGCTGTATAGGGAGATTGTACAGGTAGCATCAGGATACCTGAGGCCTGGTGTTAGTATGGATAGGGTGGGCTTTAGCCAGCGATAATTATTTTGCTTCCCATTCCCACTTCTTCTGTTAGTCCCAGGAAGTAAAGCATTTCTCACCCACCTCCTACCCTAATCTCACCAGGTCTGGAGCTGAGGTAACTGACTCTGAAGATGACAGCCGCTTAGTCCTAGGCCTGACTTTCTCCAGGGTTTTCCCTGTTCTTATACCTTCCTTTGTACTCTCTCAACTGCTCTCTTATTCTCTGAGTAAAAACAGCTTTCTTTTGTCATAGCTTTGAAGGAGGGCTGGGATCTGGACACCAGAGAAGGGCAGTTCTCCTCTCTGTTCTTCCTCAGACCCCTTCATCTGGTATTAAAGCATCTAGTTCTCTAATGCTGGAGAGCAGAGAAGGGGGATGGGGGTCAAATAACAGGAAAGCGAGTCAGGAAAAACAATCAGTGAATTCTAAAAGTAACATAAATTTGAAAAATGACTGACATAATTTGGCAGCATGGCCATATGACATGTCAGACAGATTTTTGATCCTTCTGGCAACTTTTCTAACCTGTGTGGCTCTTGGCAAAAACCTAGTCATGATTTTCTACCACAAGCATCAGCCAAAAGAAATATGCATAGAAAGTTACTTCTGTACCCTCTCATTTTACATTTGATAAAGGTTGAACTAGAAAGGTAATGCCACTGCCTCAGCCACACGGGGTGGCAGTAGAAGAGCCTGGACTCTACCCATGCTGTTTCCATGTTCGCTTATAGCCATGTCTTGGGGGCAGATGGGGAATGTGAACCCTGCGTCAGACATGAGCAGAAAGCAGAACATCCTTCATTATCTGTTTGCTTCCAGTCAAACCTGGCAATGTGAGGAACATCATCCAGCACTTTGAGAACAACCAGCAGTGTGACACCCCAGAACCTGGAGCACAGCGACTCTCGACAGGAAGCTTTCCGGAGGACCTGCTGGAGAGGGACAGGTAGCAGGGGCTGGGTAGGCCCGTAGCCCCTCTCCCGTGTGGGAGAGCCGACAGGGTTGGAGCAAGGATTTTGTTCCAGCTGCTTCTAGAACTGGAAGCAGTTCTAAGGCCCCTGCTCTAGAACTCCCCTCCTCTAGAATCTTCCCATTGTGGTATCTTCATCAGAAGACTTTGCTCTTTCTTGTTGAGGCTGGTGAGGGAGAGAGCCGCCCAGGAACCTCATACTGCGAAAGTTTCCTTTGGGTTCTCCTCCCCTGCTACTCAGCTACTCCATCCCAAGAATGAACTAGATTATATTATAAACAGCTCATCAGGAAATCCTAAGTGATAAGGCTAGAAGAGAAGACGGGGGGAGCAAAAAGAGGAGTCCTGGGAAATGATGAGGTCAGGCAAAGAGCAGTGTCTGCTAGTGCAGAAGAGAGTACCAGGTGAGATTCTGCTGGTTCTTTCAGAAACAGGACAGAACTGTGGGCATCCAAAGCTCATCTCAGCAAAGAGATGCAAAGCTCACTGATTCAAAACCAAATGCTCTTCCCAGGAACTTGAGGCTGTTGCATCTCTCCTGTTCACTTTGGTCAGGTTCCAAAGAGTAATCTTCTTTAGCAATAGCTTGTTCTTGATTGTGAATTGACAGCAACCATGTCATGGCTAAAATTCTACAGCCTGCTTTTATGCATGTATTTCTTTGTCTTTTCAGTAAGTCTTTATGGTAAGCCTAATGCATGTTACAGGATCTTGCCATAGTGAGAAATACAAATACATGTTAGATAAAAGCTATAGTACTGCTGGGTAAATGAAATACACAAGTCATGATTTGCTGGGGTGGGCATGGTCTTGCACATGTTTCAGATCTAAGATTGTTAAGACACAGTTAACATTTTGAGAACATAATTGAGACTACTGGCCCTCTTGAATTCTTGAACTTGCTACTTAAGTTCACTAGGATCCTGCTTTGAGCAGAAGTCATTGCATTTAATGATTATAAACTCACTGGCAATTTTAGAAGAAATAGTATTAGCAATATATGAGCCAGAAGTTGTCAAAGAGGCTTACTTAAGCCCCCAGTGTTAGAAGGTGGAACTCTAGGAATTTGGGTCTCACTTCCTGGTGGGAGTGCCATTCACTGACGGGAAACTGACGGGAAGTACTTAGCTCTGCAGCCCTGTGGTGTAAGTGGACCCACTGCAAGTCAGAGTTATCCACTAGTCTGCAGTCTGCGCTGGAGCTGTTCTAGCAGACTTCATGCATGAGTTCATAGGGGCTCAGCAGTGTGATTTCTGACCCTGGGACCAAGCCTTGTGCCCGGGTAGAGGAGCACTCACTTGACTCCTGGCAGTTTAGGGATTTGTTGATTGGAGACAAGATACTTGGCTCACTTGACAAAGCAACCTGCTCTCCAGACTTTTCAGCCTCTCTTGCCTTAAAGCAGAGCAGGATGTAGTTTAGTAATAATACCAGTGAAGAGGCCTCCCACTGACTGTGGAAAGACACCACCGTGGGGTAGCTGGAGGTCAGAGAGGCCATCTGTCTGAGGTCTTGGAAAGAGCACAGCCAGTGCAGCAAGCCCCGGCCTAGCGGCTGGGGAGCAGGTCCTGCCTGTCTGTAAACAAGCCCGGAAGTGGGCTGCCAGCTGCTCTGTCTCAGGAGGGGAGATGGCGGTTGGTAAGATGCCTTCAAGAGAAGAAGGGAAGAAATCCACATCACAGCAGGAGAGGTGGGGGAGCCTAACAGTTTTCTGACCGGTGGTGTGGGCATTCTAGAATGATTTATATGAAGGTAGTGCCTGCAGTCCCTCTTACATCTAGCAAAGGGAGAGCTCTGCCTCCAGCAAAACCCAGGGTGGGAGGTGACCTGTTCCAAGTTGGACACAGTGACCTGAGGACAGGGAGGGTGGGACCTCGAGCCCCTCAGCCTGAGGGACTGTGGCCTGCAACTTTCTGACTTGAGCTTGTTTCTTTAGCATCTGGGCACAAAAGTGATACTTTTAGTCCCAGATCTCCCTTACTTCACTCGCAAGGAAGGTGAAAGGCTGCCCATCGAGCCAGGCTGAGGAGAGGGTGCAGAGCAGCAAACGTGGTTTGTCAGTGAGACAACCCACCGTCTGGCCTTTGTTTGGGACATTTGCGGTAGAGAAAATGCAGCATTGAGGTGCCCTAGGGTTGGGCGGCAGATAAAAATTGGCCAGGAGAACAGATCCCAAGTGTTTTGCCCTTCTCCCCGCCCCATCAAGTTCTCGCTCTGAGATTCGCCTGGGCCGCTCTGAGAGCCTGAAGGGCCGGGAGGAGATGAAGCGGTCACGGAAGGCAGAGAACGTACCGCGCTCTCGCAGTGATGTCGACATGGACGCTGCTGCTGAGGCTGCCCGCCTGCACCAGTCAGCCTCCTCCTCCGCCTCCAGCCTCTCTACCAGGTGGGCAGGCTCGGGGCGTTTGGCCCACCAGTATCTCAGGGCAGGGGCAAGGGCCCAGCAGTGCTCAGCCTGACTCTCTCCACAGGTCTCTCGAGAACCCAACCCCTCCTTTCACCCCCAAAATGAGCCGCAGGTGAGTGCTGGTGCCGTAGCACCTCTATTTGTAAAGGTGTTCCTGCATGCTCCCATCAGCGGCTGTTTGGGTTTGCATCGCCTCCTGGCCTGCTGATTTCCCAGGGGCTCAGTCCAAGGAGGTTGACCAGACAGGAGGGACGCGCCCCGGTTGAGTTCTTCATTTGAGTGAAGCTGAGCTGCCCATTTTCCCTCAGGAGCATTGAGTCCCCCAGCTTGGGTTTCTGCACAGACGCCCTCCTTCCCCACCTCCTAGAGGATGACCTGGGCCAGCTGTCTGACCTGGAGCCAGAGCCAGATGCCCAGAACTGGCAGCACACAGTGGGCAAGGATGTGGTGGCTGAGCTAAGCCAGAGGGAGATTGACCGGCAGGAGGTCATCAATGGTGAGAAGTGTCCCCTTCCCCACCCCATTTCTGGCAGGCCCAAGGGACTCTGTGTGAGCTTCTAAGATGTGAGAAGTGGAAAAGACAAGACCCGTCCATGCTGTTCTTAGAAGGGCCCCTCAGTTCTGGCCTTTTGGCAACAGAAAAGTGGCTGCACAGTCTGAACCAGCCCTTAGTGCTCCCAAAAGTAAAGTGGTTTGGGAATCAGGATGGTGACTCTAGATACTTGTTGACATGATTTCTACCCGCCTCCTTCTCAGAGCTGTTTGTGACAGAGGCCTCCCATCTGCGTACACTCCGGGTCCTAGACCTCATTTTCTACCAGCGAATGAAGAAGGAAAACCTGATGCCCCGAGAGGAGCTGGCCCGGCTCTTCCCCAACCTGCCTGAGCTCATCGAGATCCACAGTGAGGAGCCACCCACACCCCGTCCCACTGTCCACTCCTCCTGTCGCTCTCCGCCAACCTGTTGCTGTGCCGGTTTTGCCCGCAGCCAGGAACCATCCTCCTCTTTGGTCAGCACTCTGAAACCAGCTTCCCAGTTCCTCTCAACAGCTTCCAAGCCCTTCTCTGTAGCATTGCCAAAGAGCCCTTTAGTGGGTCACAGAATGCTTGGTGGTGATGCTTGGCCCCAGATATCTCTTCTCTTCTTGCTCCAGATTCCTGGTGTGAAGCTATGAGGAAGCTCCGGGAGGAGGGCCCTATCATTAAAGATGTTGGTGACCTCATGCTGGCTCGGGTATGCCTGCAAGGAGGAGGTCCCCTCAGGGCGGGGTGGGGGAGCAGGGGGAACCCTAGGTGTGGATGTGACTCCGTGTCCGTTCTGCCATGTCTCAGTTTGACGGCCCCGCCCGGGAAGAGCTACAGCAGATGGCGGCTCAGTTCTGCTCCTACCAGTCCATAGCCCTGGAGCTGATCAAAACCAAGCAGCGCAAGGAAAGCCGATTCCAGCTCTTCATGCAGGTGAATGCTGCCCTTCGACCTGCCCTTGTTCACCACTAGAAGTTAACCAGGTTGATCGTATCTCAGTAAAGCTGGTTGGTCTGGGCAGCAATCACATTCACCAAGAACCTCCCAAGATTTCGTCCTGGCCCCCTGCTCCCCACACTCTGGTCTCTGCTACCAAAGAGGATAACCAGCAATTCCCCACACCCCTCTGCACCCTCCCTATGCCACCTGTCAGAAACGTGGGCACATATCCCTTCAAGACAGACCACGGTTCACGAGAAAAGGCTGGTTTGCAGTCAGAAGGCCTAGTTCATCTACTCTATGTACTTAGAAGGATCTCTGTTTCCTTACCTATAAAATAGGAATTATACCTGCTCTAAGCAGCTTTTTTACCACATTTGTCTCCCTGCCCCCAACAGCCCTTCATGGGACATTCATGGACATGACCATCTGTCATGTCCACAGCCATTTTGACCCCGAGCCCCCGCAGACTGCCCCTAAGCACATGTTGACCTCCTTCCTTGCAGGAGGCTGAGAGCCACCCTCAGTGCCGGCGGCTGCAGCTTCGAGACCTCATCATCTCCGAGATGCAGCGGCTCACCAAGTACCCACTGCTGCTGGAGAGCATCATCAAGCACACAGCGGGTAGGTTGGGCAGGGGCTCAGCTCACGCCCTGGTTTGCCACTGGCTGATGTGGTGACCATAGCCAGTCTCGGGTCTTCAGGGTCTTCCCCCTTGTCTTGTTACGGTCAGCCTCAGAGAAAAAAGTTTTGGAAAATAGAACGTGCTTGGCCACAGGAGGGGGTGAGGTCTTCTGTCTAACCTCTGGGGTCTTTGCACAAGTCAGAGGAAAGCATGTATGGACACAAGTTCAAATGTTAGGGCACTCGGCTCCTCTCCCTTTGTGGCCCTGCACGGGCTGTGGGTGGAGTCCAGCCCCGCTCTGTCTCACTGCCTGAGGCCCAGCCTGCTGCCAGACGCCCTGTGCAGTGCACAGCCGACAGCTGCATGTGAGAACTTACAAGGCGGGGACCAGGCTTTGTGAGGGGGCTACAAGTCGGCACTGTCCCTGGTCTCCTAAGTGTCTTCTGCCACCCTCCGACTGGGGACATCGGAGGCAGAGTATACCAGTGTTAGGTCCCTCAGACTGATTTGAACAGGCATTGCAAGAGCCATACTCATCGTCATCACCCATAGTCCCTTTCCCTGTCCCCCATCTGTGGAGCTGGTTGTGGTCTAGGTAAGGCGCCCCCAGAGCTCTCGGTGTGCGGAGTGTGGTCTGACACCCAGGGACACTCAGTGAAAGTTAATCTCACACCTGAGGTCCTTGGATGAGGCAAGTCAGCCACTGTGGATATAAGAAGTGAGGACGTACAGGACCCTGAATCCCACACTACCTCCTCCATCCTGTTCGGTAGGTGGCACCTCTGAGCATGAGAAGCTGTCCCGGGCCCGCGATCAGTGCCGGGAAATTCTCAAGTATGTGAATGAAGCAGTGAAGCAGACAGAGAACCAGCACCGTCTCGAAGGCTACCAGAAACGCCTGGATACCACCTCCCTGGAGAGGGCCAGTAACCCTCTGGCGGCAGAGTTCAAGGTAGAGGCTCCTGCATGGTCAGGCCACACACGCCTCAGGCAGCCACAGGAGCAAGTCCTGCTCAGGGCCTAGCGAGTGCTGGTGCTGGGACGCATGGTCCGTTCTGCGTGTAATAGGGCGCGTGCTGGCGCCTGGGGATGTACTCACCCTGTGCCGTGTCACCCCATCCTCCCAGAGGGAGGACTCGCCAGGGAGAGTAAGCCTGGGGGCTGGGCTGTAAGGTAGAGGTGACGATCACTTGGAAGGGACTGGAGCAGACAGGATGGGCAGGTGAGCCAGAGAGAGACCTTGGGAGGGTGGGGACTGGTCCAGGGTTGAGACACCCTGTCCAGGACCACTGGTGGAGTCCCCAACGTGGCACGTGCCTTTGTGTTGCCTTTTTGTCTGTGACCCCACAAGAGTTTAAAGGCGAAGACTGTTTCTTCACTGAACTGATGCCCCGCTATGTCTGCAGTACTGTCTGGCACATAGTACTTCTCAGATACTGTGGCGTGAATGAACAAATGATCTCTCTTCCACAGAGCCTGGATCTTACAACAAGAAAGATGATCCATGAGGGGCCTCTGACCTGGAGGATAAGCAAGGATAAGACTTTGGGTGTGTGCCGGGGGCAGGGGCCTGGGGGCTGTGTGGCAGACGGGTGGCCCCAGGGGCTTCCCTCTGTGGCATAAGCCCTGGAGCCATGCTCTAAAGGCATCGGAAAGTGGCCAGGCGGCCATGTGATACTCAGGTGGGCACGGGAACTACTTCTTGGGCACAGAGTGGGGTGGGGCTGCCACAGGAAGGCTTAGAGGTCACCAGACTCCAGGGCATCTAGACCCTGTGGTTCCCCACGTGTGGGTGCGGGAGCAGCCCTCACAACCCCACACCCACAGACCTGCACGTGCTGCTGCTGGAGGATCTCCTGGTGCTGCTGCAGAAACAGGACGAGAAGCTGCTGCTGAAGTGCCACAGCAAGACCGCCGTAGGCTCCTCAGACAGCAAGCAGACCTTCAGCCCCGTGCTCAAGCTCAATGCTGTGCTTATCCGCTCTGTGGCCACAGGTACCACAAGGAGAGGGCCCCAGGCCCATCAATACTAGGAGTGTCAGTGAGCACTGGGGAGAGCAGGGCCCCCCTTGGGCCTTACAGAACTCAACTGGCCACCTGTGTTCCTTGCTGCCGCTCCTGACCTTCCTGAGCAGGAGGTTGTAGGCCAGGGTGAGGGTGAGAAGCTGGAACAGAGAGAGGCAATCCGCTCCGGAAGTGCTGGCCAGGGTGGGGTATGGGCTGGTCAGCTCAGCCTATCTAAGCAGGAGTGGGAAGAGGGGGCCGGCAGAGAGGCGCGGGACAAGGGGCAGGGCTGGGTTGAAGAGGAGAGACCCACAGCACAGAGCAGACCGCTCCTGGGGAATGCGGAATGTCCGCAGGGCTCTGGAGCCATCAGACGGCCCCTCTCTGGCTCACTCCCTTGTCTTTGATTGGGAGCGACTGCCTGCCCTCTCCCGGACCCCTGGGGACATCAAAGGGATGATAAGTATGAGAGTTTTATAGACTCCAAGCACCACGTACCCATCAGACCCTTTTGTCATTGATCATTCAGGGTTCTAGAATTGCCGCCTCCCCTGGGCAGGCAGGTCCCAGCTAGCTCTGATGACCCGTGTCAGCCTTCGTGCTGAGAGCAGGCCTCCACCACTCCAGCACACACCCTTCTACCTTGCTTTGCCCACACAGACAAGCGGGCCTTCTTCATCATCTGTACCTCCGAGCTGGGTCCACCCCAGATCTATGAACTGGTCGCATTGACGTCGTCAGACAAGAACACGTGAGGATTGTGGGATCATGTGTAACTGCCAACCCATTGTGCCCAGGCTGGTGTATATGTGAGGATGGTGAACAGGGAGGCCTGGATTGGGCCCCAGAGCAGTCACCGGACCAGGCCCTGGGGAGGACAGAAGTAGGGAAGCTGACAAGCTGCCACCCCTGACTCAAACTTGGCCTGTAAAATGAGGACGAGCTCTCGGCAGTCTCTCTGCCACAGTTACTGCTGCTTTGCTGTCTCTGGCCCACGCTCTTCACCTTTCCCCATTAGGCATTTAAAGTTCATATGTTTTGCGGCGTGTGCCTTCTGAACCCACCCCTGCCAAGTCCTCTATCCACCCCACAGCCAGCCAGAGATGGTGTGGCATGGCGGAAGGCAACGGTTGAGTCCACTTCTTTACCTCGGGATTTTCAGCTGTAGGATGTGGATGATGCCCCCTTTCAGTTATTCTGAGAGAGAAACATGTGTATGGAGCATAAGGGAGAGCTGGTGTTCACTAACTGGTAACTTCAAATAATATAACCCCAGGAGTGTCCGTCGGGGCTGTGATGGGCGGTGGGGCCCCACCAGACAGGAGATGGGACAGGGCCTGGAGGAGGACGTCACTCTCACGCAGCGCCTCAGCGGAGGGGAAGCTGTGCTGCCTGGTCTTGTTCTCATCACCCATCCCTTCTGTTCCCCGTTTCTGCTGAGCAACAGGTGGATGGAGCTTCTAGAGGAGGCCGTGCGGCGTGCCACCAGACACCCTGGGCCTGCCCCGACACCCATCCAGCCCCCAGCCCAGGGCCCAACCACACACCAGGGCCCCAGGCCCAGCAGGTGCTTAGCGTTTGGACCCCTCACTATCCCGTCCCCCAGACCTCCCGCTTTCTGCAAGCACCTCACCCCTGGAGTTGGACAGCCTCAGCAGAGAAACATTAGCAGGCAGTGGGGAACATCCCCCCACTTCTCTGCCACAGTCCCTGCTTTCTCCCCCACGGCTGGCTATAATGGAGGCTGTGCTGGAAGGGGGGGAGGGGGCTTGGGTGAGGGGGCCAGAAGCTTGGCCACTATCCCTCTCTACTGCCACCACTACTCTCCAGCTGCCAGCTAGCCAGGCAGGTGCTGGACCCGGCCCCGCCCCTTCGGCCCACTCCTTCATGGGCCATTCCAGCTCAGCCGAGAGCCAGAGTTGCTGGCAGGTGACCTTCTCTCACCTGGTGGGTTTCCTTCCTCAGGGTAGAGTTGGATGACTCAGAAGTGTTTCACAGTGAACCTGAGCCCGAGGAGCTACCGGCCAGTGAGTCCCTTGAACTGCCCAGTTTTTGCTGGCATAGGTAGGGAGGTGGTCAGGCATGGGTGGGACACACCCATTGGTCCTAAGGAATGGGCCCTGATAAGGATAGTGAAGAAGGGAGAATCTAGAGAATGAAAGAACTCGGTGAGTATAGACTGACTCACATGAACAGGCTCCAAACTGGTTCTCAGAGGGACAGGTGACACCGTGCAGGATGAGAGCAAAGCCTGGAGTCTGCAGCCGGGGCTTCATGGAGCATGAGCTGCCCACACAGACATGGGACAGGCGTCATTGGGTGGACAGGGGAGGAAAGCTCAGGGTTTTGGCTCTTTTTTTTTTTTTTTTCTTTTTTAAGATTGTACAGTTTCATAGGGCTGTGCTTTAACCCGCTGCGCTAGCAGGGAGGGCCTAAGAGCTCAGGGGTTTAAGGTGGTTATTGGGATGGGATTGTGGGGTGAGAGGGTCTCCGGTTTAGAAAGAAGTCCTCAAGGCAGGTCCTCTGTTTTATCTACTGCTGTGCACAAGGAGTCGGGCAGTGCCCGGTCGTAGCTGGTGTTCAGCAAGCATCTGGGGGCTGAGCGTGTTCCTAGCCCTTTGAATCCAAGCTGTACGGGTCCCCCCCCTTTCCCTGGCTGTGCACTGCCCTCTAATCCAAAGCAGGCGCTGGGCCACAGGAGAGAACCGCCGGGACGCATCCAGCACTGCTACAGGGCCCTGGGCAGGAGAGCAGTAGAGGAGGCGAGGAACTGCAAGCCCAGCCTCTCCCCGCTGCATCCCTGGATGCGGAGACTAGGGGCAGCAGGAGGAGAGAACCCATCCTCTTGCCCCTCCCAGACCCGCTGTTCATGGAAGGCCTCGCAGACGCAGCCCTGGAGGACGGTGAGTGCCTCAGGGCCCGCCCCGCGCGGCTGGGCCCAGCTGCACAGCCAATGTGACTGGACACGTCTCCACCCTCACTGCCCAGAGCTCTCCCTGACTGTACTAGGGGAGCGTGGACGCAGGGGCGACTGCCACTCCCTGCCTGCTTCCCGCACCGCTGGCCAGCTGGCCCGCGCGCTCCAGCTCCACCCTGTGACGGACGCAGGGTCACCAAGTCGGGGGAGACGCAGCAGCCAGCTCCTGCAACCCAGGCCCCCTCCTACTGCTCACGCGCTGTGCAGTCCCCACCAGAGATGCTATGGCCTGTCTCCCCACAGTGGAGAGCCTCCGGCACCTGATCCTCTGGAGCCTGCTGCCAGGTCACTCCGTGGAACCGCAGGTTGCCAGGAAGCCCGAGGACGACCTGACACCTACGGCTTCTGTCAGCAGCATCACCTCTCACCCCTGGGACCCTGGCTCCCCAGGGCCAGCTCCCACCGTGGGTGAAGGGGACGACAGCCAGCTCCCAGGGCCAGAGCAGGAGGATGCAGCTGGCTGTTCTCTGGAACATCTGCCCCCAAGGACAAGAAATTCGGGTATTTGGGAGTCTCCTGAACTAGACAGGAAACTAGATGAAGAGGCTTCGAGCACAGAGGCAGCCGGAAGTTACAAAGTGGTGAGAAAAGGTAAAATGAATTGGGGTACTCCCTGGGAAGACAGACACCCAACTTTGCTAGGGCATGGGGACTCCTAAAAACCGCTTCTTTCCTGACATTTGTCCTGAAAGCCATGTATGCAGTGGCTGTGCCAATCCCAGGGAGACAGTGGATAGCACACGGGCTCGGGGGGTACATCTGAGGTTCACGCTCTGCCACTTGACATTGGCGTGACCTCAAACAAAATTCTGCATCATCCTGCACCTCATTCTACAGTGTAGGCTATGACCTACTGCCTGGAACAACAGGACCGTCAATAAAAGTTTCTGCTAGTGGTCACTGGTCATGGCTTTTCCCAGAAGCCTATTCCCCAAAGAAAAGGACAGATGCCAAGGCCAGTCTCTCTAGATGGCAAGGAGGAAGACTGGCAGTGTGGGGGGTGGCGATGGGGCTAGACGTTGAGCAAACATGGGGAATAATTGAGAAGACCAGGAGTACACCAGAGTAAGGGGGTGACCAGGTGGGTGAGGGGGAGCAGCCCTAAGACCAGAAAGGCAGAGGCTGCCAGGGTGGGGGCTCAGGACAGGTTACTCTGGCCAGAGCAGTGAGCCCAGGGGAAGGGGCCCGTGCAGGGAGGAGACAGCTGAAGACAGAAAACAGCCGAGTTCGGCTGGGAAGGGGCCTTCAGCCCGCTGTCCTGAGGGCTGGGCTGGGCCCACCTAGTGGAGGGGTGCTGCCTCCCTTGCAGCAGGCCCGCTTGTCTCCGGTTTCTGGGACCTGACCTTCCTTCTGTCTTTCGGTGCGTTGGTGGACGGGGTCTCTGCAGCCCCCACACAGTCATGTGTGCACTGTGTTCACTTGTTCTTCTCTTTTTCTCTTCCCCCTCCCTTCTCCTCTTTCCTCCTTTCCCCTTCCCTTTCCACCTCTGCTTGCCTTGGTGGTGGTGGTGTCGGTACAGCTGAAGTGACAGGCAGCGAGGCTGTCCCTGGACTACCAGAGAGTGTCCAGTCAGGGCCTGAGCCACCCGAAGTGGAAGGCGGAGCAAAGGCTGCGGGTAACACACTTCTCCTTGGAGCCAGAGCAGCCAGGGCTGCAGTGTTCGCCGTGGGGCGCAGACCCGTTTCTGCAGCCATGTGTGCCCCCTCCTCCCCCCAGACAGTCCCTCCCCGGCCATGTGGGGGGGGGGGGTGAGGACAGGGTGACATGCAGGGCAGACCCCATTCCACCCACTGTGGGGACCTTCACAAAGCCCGGACGCCACTTGCCCACCCAGCCACATCTTCGTGGGAATAAGCTTCATAGTCTGTCAGGTCCCCCACAGAGGGCCCCTGGGAGTCCCCTGTGCTTACTGCCCTGTCAGGGGCTTTCTACTGTCTCTGACACCCCTCCAGCCCCCCACTCCCCTATCCCCGATGCAACACTGCGTTCTGGCCACTCACTCCCCTTCAGCTTCACTAAGGATGTTCCCTGGTATGGCTCACGCTGAGAAAACTGCTCTCTCGGAAGGCGTCCTGGAGGAGGAGGGCTTTAGGAGACCACTGAACAGAGTGGGCCCAGGTGTGCCGGGCTGCCTGCCGGCAGCTGCCCTGGCCCTGTGAGTCAGCACGGGGGCAGCGGCAGCGGAAGTGGCTTACACTCCTCCACTTGCTTCCTAATGTCTTTCTCTCCCATGGGGGCAGGGAACTGTTTTTACGTCAGCATGCCAGCAGGACCCCTGGATTCAAGCACTGACCCCTCAGGGGCACCCATAGGCCCCTCCCAGCCCATCAGCCTGTCCGAATGGCAGACAGAACCTCAGTGCGAGCAGCAGCAGGGCAGCCATGAGGATGAAAGACGTCCCAGACGCTCTCCCCCTAGTCTGGCCCTCAGGGACGTGGGCCTGATCTTCCACACCATTGAGCAGCTCACTGTCAAGCTCAACAGGCTCAAGGTAAGAAAACAGGACTTGGGCCTTGGGGGCCTTGAATTCAACCCCCAAAGCAGCCACCCCCACAAGGGAGTTGTGTATCTCCAGGGGAGCCCCAGATTGACCTGGCCTGGAACTCTTCCCTCAGCCCTCCCAGCCTCCCTCCAGCACAGCCCTCTACCCAGGGCCCAGCTGGTGGAGGAAGTTGTGACCCCCTTCTTCAGGGGCCTAGGAACAGGACTCAGAGCAGACCCGTCTCTGCATCTTCCAGGACATGGAGCTGGCCCACAGAGAGCTGCTGCGCTCCCTCGGGGGAGAGTCATCGGGTGGCACCACACCTGTGGGTAGTTTTCACACAGAGGCCACCAAATGGACAGATGGCTTCCTGTCACCTCCCGCCAAGGGGCCCTTGGTGAATGACTCCAGGGATAGCCACGAACTAGGGCCCCCCCCTGAGGATGGTGAGTGAAGCCGGCTCCTTTGTTCCCCCAATGGGGAGGGCTCCAGCTGGTATGGATTGGTGGGGGGGGGGCCAAAATGGGTCTCACCGTCATCCTTCCACACACTCCACAGGCACTGACACTCCCTTGGAAGACAGTACACCTGACGCGACCATGTCCCCAGGACTGTAACTGTTGAAGCCACCAATCTGCTGCATCCCCATTCCTCTCGGGACTGGCCCGAGGCGAGGGCATGCGGGGGGGGGGGGGGGCCCCAATCTCCTCTCCCCGGTGAAGGCAGTTGAAGAGACTGGGATCCAGCCGAGACCCTCCGCATGTTGCTTGGTCTGTCCAGATGGGAGTTGACTTCCAGTGTCTTTCCCTCCCCTCAACTACCCCTGCAAGGCCCTGCGTCTCCTAAGCATGCTGATCGCGTCTGAGCCCCTCGTCCCACGCAGGTGTGTCCGCCTGTATGTGTGGGTGCCCTCAGACACACAAGGGGAAAAGGAGGCTTCGTATAAATGCACTTTTCTCTCCCCCTCACAGGACCCCAAGGCTGAGGTGGGGTGCCTCCACCTCTCCTGTCACTTTGGTTTCCTATAAATATGTATGTATTGTATGTGCATCTTTGCTATTGTAAATAACTTTGACCTTTTTTTCTGTTCCCCGGGGTACTGGCGACTTACAGAAGGGATGACTGTGGAAAGAGGTTTGCTTGCATCTGCTAGTTAACAGCCCAGCTCCCTGTGGGTGGAAGGGCTCCTGCTTCCCGCTGACCTCGCCCCAGAGCCTGCTTGGTGCTGTGTGCAAATCCCTCCCTCTTTGCATCCCAGAATTCCCATCTTCAAGGGGATTTCTCTCACCCACTCCCACTACCAAATCTACCCTCCCCACTCTCTCTGTATAAAAAATCCAGTATATCAGGTACGGAGCTGAAAACTGGGCCCCAGGAAGTGGGGGAGGGGTTTGAATGCTGGAGTCCCTGAACTAACCAGGAGCATCCCCAGGGGCCACCACAGCACTGGCCCCCACTACCATGTCCACTCCTCTTCCTCACTGACGACTAGAATATACACACTGTGCTAGGTGTATATATACATATATATATATAAATATATATATATAATATATAAAATATAGATATGGAAATGACTGTTTTGCTGTTAAAATAATGTATACTCTTTTATTTTCTTCCTTTCATGGTTAAGATTTTTTTTTTTTTTTAAGAAAAGTTAAATATTCTTTAATTGTGGTGGTGTGTGTGTGATTCTTGAAACTGCTGTGACAAAAGACAGGTGGTTCACTGTGAGACAGGCTAGGACTGCATGGAAGGGATGGAAGGAATCTCCCTGGGCCCAGCATCAGGCCCCCAGACCTGGTCTTGCCTTTCTCACACAGCTCCAGATGGGAGCCCACTGGATCGCACAGAAACAAAGTTAAACAACCCCACAGCCAAAATACAAGACGCTGAACCCACTCACACACGCATATCTGCAAAGGCACCGTGGCCCAGACTCCAGAGACCTCATGAGCTGCTTTCAGTGAGCTTCAGCACTTCCAAGGCAGAAGCATAGGCGAGGCTCGTCCCCAGCCGTTCTCACTGTCCTCAGCCCTTCACGCTTGGCCAGGCTGGCACCGCAGGCCTCCAGGGTGGAGACGCCAAGCCTTTGTTATTTGGCCAAAGGACACATTCTCTTTCAGCCCAGTGTTCTACTCCTAAACTTCATGTAATGCCAGGTGCCGAGTTCTCAGTGGCAGAATTAGTATGTGTCAGAATTAACACACATTAGTGATAAGGGATCAGGTCAGACAGGCCTGTAGGGGTTCAAGGGAGCTTTAGAAGGATTCAGATGAAGAGGCTGGGGACTGGTCGCCACCAAGCATCTGTCGCGTGCTCAGGACTGGGAATGCAAAGGGCGAGTCTCCCTGCACCATTTCTGGGGCGGCTAAGGAGAGGCTGAGCAGCTCCAGGCAGAGGCCAAGTGGCCAATGCCGGAACTGAGCCTCAGAGGAGTTCTGGACACAGAACAGGTCTCTGTTGATCCAGCAGATTTCAGGGTCATAAACTGGGTCTTGTCAGCCCAGAGGAAAGGGCACTCCCCTAGAAGCTCCCCACAGAGGGCTGGGGGTGGTAGCTCTCCCAAGGCCAGACCTGTGCTCTCTGGCCAGTGTCAGTGAGTGAGTGGAGGCAAAGCTACAGGCAAAGGGGTGGGGTCCCCTGCTCTCCCAAGAACTCAGGCCTCACACTGACTGCCCTGGGTTTCAGGCAGTGTCACCAGGCTTCATGCCCGGAGCTTGGCCTTTGCTGCTCACACTGAATAGCCCCCTTCAGAGTAGCCTGCCAGTTGTATTTTCTTAAGCTGTGCCCTTGCCTCTCTCCAAACCAGTTATCTGGGCCAGACAGAAATGGGTGTAGGGTGGAGGAGGAATGGAATGGGGGAGCCCATGCTCAATCCCTTTGCCAGGCCCACCCCTACCCCCTTTCCTACTTGGCTTGTGTCAGTTACTGAACCCAAGCCGTTCCCTTCTGCCTGAGACTAAAAGCCAAGTGCAAACCTTAGCCTAGCTGGTGCATCTGGCCTGGTCTGAAAGCCAGAGCCAGACCTCAGGATGCAGGACCTCAGGACACAGGGGAGCAGTATCCCTGGCTGGCCAGCACCAGAGGGACCCAGGACATCCCCAGCAGAACCTCAAAGATACCCAGTCACTTTTGGAAACATGATGAACAGACAATTCGAATGGTCCAAGTCATTCTGAAGCAAATGATTTCAGACAAGCTCAGGGAAAAGGTACAGCAACAGCCTTTGTTAATGACCTGAGCCCTCCCCCAGGGAGGCTGGCCCTCACAGACAGGAACGGCTTCAGTGGCCCAGGGTCTCTGGGAAGAAGGTGGGGGGAGCTAAGTGGGGAAAGCTGTAACTTCCTCTTCCCTGGGCTTGGCCTTATTGATGGGGTCTCTGGGCAGCATCAGCTCCTGGATCTTGGTGTACGTGGGACACTGCAGGGAGAAGCTGTTTTTCTGAAGGACAGTTGGCAGAAGGAAGATGAGTCATTTGGCAGAGAAGAGTGTCTTGGGACAGCTGGGTTAGGGCCAGGGGACATGGAGGAAAGGGGAAGTACAACTGTCTCGCAGCGAGAGGGTAGAGAGGTGGACACAACTAGGGAAGCAGACCTGCCTTGGCAGTGGGGAGTTCCGCATGCAGCCCTTGCAGGAAAGTGAGGAACTCACCGCCAGGGACAGCCACAGCAGGCCCAAGGGGCCCTTGGACGGGCTCTTGGCCTTGGCGAACTGCGCCTGGTACTGCACCACTGTGAGGAAGCCCTCGAGCCCCACCTCCGTGATGTGGTTTCCTGGTAGAAGGTGCGGGAGTGGCCCCTAAACCACCGCCAGCTACCCTCCGCTGTGCCGGCGCCACAGGGACCCCCTTGCTTCCCACAGCTCCCCTGTCCCCGCTCAGAGGCCCGGTCCTGCCTTGTACCCCAGTTCTCAACTTCTCTGACTTCCTTCAGCGCTCCTGTTCTCACACCCCCATTTCTCTCGCTCGCAGTGTGAAAGAAATCACTCCTCACCGATGACTTCATTACTCTAATCGCCCTGTCAAGCTCTCGCCACCCCCATACCCCCAAGCCTGGCACGCAAGGGCCTACAGCTTGGGCGCCCAGCACAGGGCGCCAGGTCCTGAGCTGTAGAAGCAAGGGCCGCCTCCGCAGCGCGGGCCTGTCGCCTTGCGGCAGGAAAGGGGCTGGCAGACGTACGGAGGAGGTTGAGGTGCAGAAGGACCTTGTTCCCAGGCATGAACACTTTCCCATCTCGGTGCTCCACGGGCTCCAGGAGAGGGTTGACCATCTCGGTAGCTTCAGCAACCAGCTACTAAAGCAAAACACTAAATGCAGCAGAGGAGTGGGGAGTCGGCCACTGGGCCACACTTGTGTTCAACATACGCGTTTTGAGGGCTGGCTCTGGTCCAGGCTTTGGTGCAGCTGCTGGGGGTACAAAGATAAATAAGCCCAAGCCCAAAGAAGCAACTTTGTGCAGGGAAGCCAGAAAGGGAGCTGGTGACGTGGCCTGGTGGACAGTGGGCAGGGAGCTGCCAGGGCTGCGATGGCCCGAAGGACCTGCGCGTCTCCTGGGGGTGGGGTGGTGGGCTGTGAGCGGAAGAGGGATGGTATGTGGCTGTTACCCAATGAAGTTCTTTTCCAGGTACAGAAAACAAGGTGCCAAAGCTGTGGGGGCATGAGCAGCATGTTGTGTGGTGGAATGCTAGGTGGCTCCCAACAGCTGGAGGGCTGGGGAAGCTGGGAGAAGAGGCCGGGGAGTTTCACACAAAAAACAAGTTGGTCCAAGTTGAAAGGGAAAAGGGAGGTCCCAGCGGCAAAGGATTTGAAAGGTGGGGTGCTCAGGACAGGGGTGGGCCTATAGCCAGGAGAACCACACCCTGCCTTCCTGGGCCCCTTGCCCTGGGCCAAGGGGATGTGCTGGGTTCCCAGTGTGGCTGGGCAAGCAAATAACGGAGGTGAGGAAACTCATGGCCTGGGCTAGCAGACTGAGGTGACGGTGAGTGGACTAGGCCTCGGCCAGCCTGGAAGGGAAAGGGTGTGCACTGAGCTCACCCCGGCAACCCCCATGTAAAATCAGGCTGGGAAAACCTAGGGTGGGACTTGGTGTGGCTCTGCGGGGCGGAAGGCTGTGTGCACTGAAGTGGCTGAGTGACAGCGCTCTGCAGGCAGCTGGAGGACCCCGTCCCCCTCCTGCCTACCTCCGCTTCCATGAGGATGCTGCGCTTCTCTTTGGTCCCGGCTTTGGGCCCTTTGCCCTTGCTTGGTTTCTGCTCGGGGATGGTGACCTCTGCAGCAGGACAAGGAGGCAGAATGCATGGTGCAGGCCTCTGATGCTGCCTCCCCTCCCCAGCTTGCCAGCGAGCAGGCCAGGCAGGGAAGGAGGCCCCTCCAACTCAAAGCTGCAGGGGCCCCAGCAAGGCGAGGGCCCAGCCCAGGGCGCGAGGAGTGGATTTGAGGATTGAGGTTGGGAGCTGGGTGGGGTTTTCACATCATCTGGAGAAGAGGAAACAAACCCCAGAAGGGGACCCAAGAAGAGCAGCTCCTGCAGAAAGCACAGCTTCACTCTCCCGCATTCTCCCTGCTTCCCCACCGGAAGGAGCACAGGCTCCCCCTCACTGGCACTTACTCCCCTTGCCTGACTTTGAGTCTTCTTTCTTAGGAGTTCCTTGTGTGGGTGACTGCCCAGACCCTGACTTCTCCTCCCTCTTCATTGCATCCTGAGAGAGAGATGAGATGAGGGCCCTTCCAGGAGGGTGTGCAGCAGGTGTGAGGGCCCAGGCCAGGACCTGAGCCTGAGGGCCCTTCCCTCCAGCGGTACCCCCTCGCCTGTCCTTTCCCCGAGGCTCTCCCACCACAGCGCACCTACCCCAGCCTTCTCCTTCTTCTTGCCCAGGCCCTTGGGGGTCTTCCCTGACTGTGTCTTGTCTGTCTTTTCCATTGCTGCAATAGTGCTGGCCCCCAACAGCTGAATTTTATCACGGTCTGTTTTGGAGTCTCCATGTCGAGAGGAAGAAGGCTGTGCTCACAAAGTGGGAAGGGGTAGGGAGAACCCCTTTTTCAGTGAGGGGTAGAGGAAGCCTAGGCAGCAGCACTGCCTCCCAACCTGCCAGCTTACATGCTAAAACCATGTGTGTGAGGCTCTTAGGGAGAGGTGCTGCTGGGGAGAAATGGCCGACATCCCCGGGATGAGCAGGGGGCAGGGGTAGAGCCCCAACTCTCCCATGGAGTTGAACAAAGTGCTGAGTGAGCACCGTTGCAACTGCACTGCATGCATTAACCTCATCCTCTCAACAATCCCCTGAGGGTGGTACAATTCTCCCCACTTCACAGATGAGGAAACAGAGATCCAAGAACGTAAGTCACGCGGCCAAGGCCACCAGCTGGTGTGGGATAAGCCAGATTTCAAATCTAAATCTAGTCCTTCGTCTTAACCAACTCTACACCCATGAGTGGTTCAGCAGTGGCAGCCCAAGATATAAGAGCTGTGCCCAAGTCAAAGGCAACCACGGAGGAGAGGGCGGATTAGGGCACCTCCAGCTTGGGGTCCTGCCGCCGACCTGGGGAGTGGCCTAGGGCGTCCAGGCTGCTCCTCACCGATCGCGACCGCTCTTGCGTCCCTTTCTCCAGCAGGAGGCGCCGGCGCTCCACTACCTCGGTGTGCGTCAGCTCGAAGGGGCGCAGGACCTGGGCGAGGCGGCGCCTCAGCTCAAGGCTTCAGGGTGGGTCCACTCAGTGAACCCGCCCAGTGCGCACACCCACCTCTGCCAGCTTCAAGGCACCTTTGTCGTGGATGCGGTTGTGGGCCAGGGACAGCCAGAGCAGGGAGCGGTTCAACCGGAGACCCTGGGGCCAGCGAGCGACAGGTAAGCTGGGACGCTGGGCGCCCACTCTGCCCCAGCCCTGGCGGTCCGCCCACACGTACGTCTGCTATGTAGCCAGCACCCTCGTCCCCGATGTGGTTGAAGCCCAGGTTGAGCAAGACCAGGGTCCGGTTGCAGCTCCGCAGGGTGGACAGAGCCTGGCCTAGGAGCTGTGCACCATGGTCATCGATGTTGTTGTTCCGCAGGGACAAGTGCGCGATCCTGGACAGTGGGTCAGAGATCCAAGGACACTGGAAACGGGTCTGGGCCATGGCCGCCGTGTCAGAGAATGTGGGAGCATGAGGAGGGCCATCTGATTTGAGGGTGGAGGGGTGGGGACTGGGCGTCCTTGGGGGAGATTATAGAGACAAGGAAGGGCTAGGGGCTAGGGCAGACTTGGAGGACCAGACTTGGAGGACTGGCCCAGAAAGGGGGGGAGGGAGCAGAATCTCACGTGCTGTCCTGTGCCATGAGCTTGTGGTAGGACTGCTCCGGCAGAGGGTTCCCCTCCAGAGATACCTTCCTGGGGGCAGGGGAGATCTGAGAACCAGGAAGCGCCACTGAGGCCAGGGAGAAAAGGGGACTGAGCGGCAGTGGGAGGCCCTGGGGAGCAGCCAGGAAAGTCAGAGATGGCCCCCAGGTAGGAAATTCTATGTAACAGCTCCCAGATGCAAACTGCTGACGTGTGGCCATGTGAAAGCATCACTCCTCAAGCAGCGACCTGTGGCAAGGCAGTGACCTGTGGCAAGGCGAGCTCTCTGAGGACCCCGCTCTGTTCTATCTATGCCCTGTGCAGTCCCCTCCCACTTGAGTGTGGCCAGACCCGATGACTCACTTCTCATGAATGAAGCAAAAACTGACAGGTGCCACTTTCACATTTAGTCACATAAAGACTGGGCTTCTCTCGGGCTCTCTGGGGACACCGGAAGTGCATGGTGGGGGCATTCAGACTGCTTACCCAGGCACTGTCTCATCACCTGCTCCCTGCCTGCCCCCTTCAGTAGGAGAGCCTGGGAGCAAGAGCTCCAGCCCTAACAGCTCTAGGAACTGGGGCCGGAGACCCCCCCCTAACCTGTATCTGGGTTCATCCCCCAGCCATTGAGACACAAGTGCTTTCTGGCTAAGCCACATTTTGAGATACTGTTACATGGTAATAGGTAACACATGTATGACCCTCCACAGGGCAGTGGCTTCTTACCAGTGCTAAGAGGATGGAGGTCCTTTTCTAAGTCATAACAAAAATTGAACTAGATGTCTCTAGAAGTTCTTTCCCATGATGTTGGCTCATCTTTCAGCTAGAGCCTTCATTTTCAATCAGTTCTATTATGTTGCCCTATGTTCAGATAAATTCTAAAGTTATTTTTCTGCCTGCTAGATCGTTCTCATTCTCATGATGGCATAGCTCCTGTGTTCTAGAGAGTGCTGGGAGCCTCCAGTTGAACATACACAATCCCCCTCTCGGGACTTTCCAGGTCCTGTGTGTAACACTGAGGACGTGTTCTGTGAAGAAGTCCAGGGTGCTGTGGAGTCTCAAGAAGGGCAGCCCAATCAAATTTGCTCTGCATACTGTAAACCATGCCTGAGGGGCATGCCCTACTTGACCTCACCCTGTTCCCTCTGAATCAAGGAGCCCCTTTCCCAGTTCCCTGCCTGGCAGCCTCCACATCCCCTTCAACGTTCAACTCAACACCACCTCCTCCAGGCGGCCACCCATGCCTCCCTGCTTCACACCTGAGGTGGGGTAGCCCCCTTCAGGGATCCAACTGCCCCCCCACACCCACCCAGAATGACACAGGGACTGTCTGCCGATGCCTTGTCCCCTCTGCTGACCTGAGCGTGGAAGAACAGAGAGGCAGCAGAGCAATGAAGGCGGTCAGGGTCTTATCCGTCAGCCCCACCTTCCACAGGCTGGAAGGTAAGAAGTACAGAGAAGTAGCTGAAGCTCCTCCCTTTCAGCCATCTTGCCTCTCACCCTCCCTCGTACCCCACCTCTTCACAATCACTGTCCCTCTTTCTCCTAGCCAGCGGGAGCCTTGCCCCGCAACTGACTCCAGCCCTCCCACTGTCCCTTGGCTCACTAGATAGCCTGCAGCTGGCTGAGGGCGGGCAGGCATTTCGAGAAGATACCGAGGATCCGATCCTCCAGTTTCCAACCTGCGGGAGAGGAGGAGGACCTCAGGTCCCAGGAGAGGGAGCCTGCGTGAACAGCCCAACGCCGAGGGCGGGCGAGCGGGGCTCACCCCGAATGTAGATCTCCTTCACCGACTTGTCGTCCAGGTCCTGCTCCACCTGGATGGTGGGCCGGAAGAACACGTACTTGCTCTCCAGGCTGTTGATGCTGCAGGACGCCGACAGACGCTGGTCCTCTACTGGGTGGGGGATTTAAGGGGCAGGGTGAGCCACCGCCCCAGACCCACGTGCGCACCGAGGCTGGGACGGGTTCCCCCCGCAGCCCTCTCCCCAGCCCCTCGCCCCCAGGCTGGGACTGCGTGGGTGCGGGAGGCACACTCTGGCCAGACCCGTCTCCCGTCTCCGCTAGGGCTGGAAAGGAAGACGGGGACCTCCCTCTCTCAGCCCCCACCACCCGAGCCCACCCCCCTCACGCACACTCCCCCGCGCCCGGGCCAGTGGTGCTCCTCGCCCCGGGACCCTGAGGGTGGGCGTGGGGCTCTGCGGTCACTCACCTAGGGTGGGCTTTTCCGACAAGGAGGCGGACGGGAAGAAGCTCGGGTGCGGGCGGGGCCGAGGAACTACTTTGGGGAAGTCCGCGTATCCCGACCGCGCGCAGAGCTCCGCGAAGTCAGTCTCCAGGGCGCCGGTGCACTGGTACTCCTCTGCGGAGGTGGGGGAGTGGGCTGGCGGCCCCCCACCCCCAGCCTACC